CCAAAAACGCGGCGATTTGGGGGTCACTTGGCAGATGGGAAAATCTTCGGCAGGGCAAGTGTTGCCAGTCGGTCAGACAAATGACCTTGGAACAAGTTCCAAAAAAGGCAACTCCGGCGCCGCGTCATCCCGTCTGACCGACTGGTTTGGAGTCTGGTCAAAACCCCCCAAAATGTCCGGAAAAATCACCTGGCCTTCCGCTGCTGGTCGGAAAATGTCCGGAAACTGGGATCTGGCCTCAAAATCGGCAAATTTTGGCCTGGTGTCCGGATTGTGGCATCTGGCTTGTCTAAAAGCGGTTTTTAGAGAGTAAAAGCTTGATTTTTTGCTCTAATCAATGATTTGGTAGATGCTGCACTTCAAATATGGTTTTATTTGTTGTGATAATGGGGTTTTGTGAACATGGCACGATGACGGTTCGAACCCAAGACCTCGTGGTATTGACGCAAAAAGGGTAAAGTGCATAGATACTTATCCATTCCGCCACAGGGCCATATTATCTTTCCCGATGTTTGCGTATATGACTACATGACTACATAGCTCGAGGACGCCCCCCTCACCAACACCGCCGCCGACGACGGCGACGACGAGGATTAGTAATACACCATTCACTTCACAGCACACAATCAGTACAATCCCAATTTCAAGTAAGGGTTAGATGCCCTTGCATGAGGCTAGGAAAAAATGCTACTAATGGATGGGACCATTCAGGTTAACTGGCGCGGGATCACTTTCGGACGGATTTTGGGCAGGGCTTATTCGTAAGAATGTTATTATGTAAACAGCTGGACCGTGCCGCACGCCTTCCCAGAGGATTGGGAGACCAACATTGCATTAGGGTAGTCTCGTGAGTCATGGTCGATTGTGGACCAAAACTCCTCGTGGCACCGCTCCCTTGATTTGTCCGGACGCGCACCCAGCCTCCCTCACGCGCCAGCTCAAATGTCCGTATCCTGGACCCGGCATAGGTCGTAAATCCGGCTCAAACTCCCCAAAATGGGCCTAAATGTCCGGAAAAATCACCTGGCCTAGGTGTCCAAAAAAGGAAATTCGTGTCCGGATCGGCACCATGCCTCAGTGCTGATATTCGGGGGTCCTAGAACAAATAAATATCTGTTTAGGCCATCACACTGACGCATTGGGCACGGCGAGAATTAATGAGATTGCTGCATGGCCCTAGAGGACCCAGGAACAAGGGCCACTGCCCAAGTGCTATGACTCTGTCAGACAAGAATGTAATTCTCCAAGAAGCACGTTTTCACCCTGCTCACCGTCATAACATTGGACGAGGGACGGGGGATAGATTGATGTCATCATGAGCTTCACGAGAAATAGCCCCTGTCTGTCTGCGTGCACTTTATGATTGTGAGTGCATTTACCATGGCCGACATAGATATTGGAGCTCCAATATCTACAACAAATGCTGTTTGAGAGACCTGCTCCCTTGTCGTGAGTTTCGAGTTTTAATCTTACGATTGGCTGTTTCAAGTCCTAACTGCGGATAAGCATCAAGTCCCAATCAAGTCTAACATTTTCTTTCGACACCTATGCTCAGGGAATCATTGCGGACTAGTAAGTAGCTAGTATATTTTAGCTTACACTGCAAAATGTCGGGCTCTCATGAGCTATAGACTGTTCGAAAAGGCCGAGTCAAGGCCGAGCAGTAGGTCATTATAGCGAGTTAAACTTGAAGGACAGTCAATTCCAAATATAATCTGGAATTGAAAGCAAGCCACGGACGCTGCAAGTCTGATATTCTAGTTTGCTTCATTAGCCGAAACTTAACAAAGATTATGTTTAAGGAAAGGTATGAAATCCTAGACCCCACGGAAAGGGCGAGCGGACCCTGAGATGGTATATTAGGAATGGAGAAAGGTCCTGTGTGAGTTGGAAGTGTGACTCGTCGACGGTAGAGTAGATCAGCCCATCATTCATCAATTGTTCTAACGCTTGGCTAGACTAGCCGGTCAGCAGAGTCAACACTTGAAGGCTTCCACTGAATCTCACTCTAATGCCAGAGCAGTGGTCTCCAATGCTCCAAGTATTGCTGCTGAGTCGACGCCTTCCTCTGTTGCTGGCTGATCCTTTATAAACTGAAGTATATTCTGATTTAACTCGGAAAGATGAGCCCATTGACTGTCGATCAGTGCTCCGCCATGGGATTGGGTGGCGTCGTCGGATTGAGCAACAGAATGAGATTCTACAGTCTCTGATGCCTGCTGCTCTGGGTGGAGGGGCTAAAGGAATAGTTAGGATCGTGCAAAAGCCATAGCAGCCTATATGGACCATCACTGACCGGTCCTCGTTCCCGCATCATGGTGGGCGTCACCGCCTCACGGGGATGAAGATCAATCTCATCTGCAGATTTCGCGGGTCGAATGTGGTTGACGTTGATGTAGCGCGTGCTACCGAACATCTTCAAGTTGCCCAGCACACGAACATAGGTCCCTTCTCTACGTATTTAGGTAAGACAGGAGGACAAGTACTGTAGACAATATTCACTTGCTTTATTCCCGCTTCTTTATCGGCATCTTCTTCTAGGGACGAATCCGTCTGATGACGCGCTTCTATGCGACCCGTTCCATCATCAAGCTCGTACACATGATTAGTTGCCTGGTTCTGGACGGATACAACATGTGCGACACAAGTCACCTAGTCAAACACTGGTCAAAGCATATCCATAGACCAGGAGACGGTAGCTCACATGCCCTATTTCCATGTCTTCTAGCATCCATTCTGCGTCAGAGTGGGCTTGGGTTGCATTCAGAAGCTGGGAGATAGTGAGTGGACGAAGGGAATGAGAGACATCGCTCCTCTTAAGCAAGATCAACAAGAATGATAATAAATGCGAGTAAGCACATACGCGCCCAGCAACACCGGAGTTTCCCGCAACGCTGCCGTAGGGCGAATAACCTCCGCCGTATTCGTCCGCTTGAGACATACATTAGTCGGAATTTCATTCGATGGAAAAGATCAGGAGTTTACATTGACTCATCGAGTACTGTAACTTTGGAGTACTATATCGCACCTGCCAATGATGATGGTTGAAAGCTGGCTTAGGTTCCTCAAAGAGTGAACGACGAGCAGAGTTGCTGCCAACAGCCGACTTTGGAAGGCCGACGCGTTTTGGCACTTTTGCGGTGGCTGTGCCAAGATCTTTACTCCAGCGGCACACATCTTCAGCACACATGCTCAGATCTCAGACAGCCTGACGAGCGTCCATATTTCGAAGTTCTGGGGTCAATTAAATGTTTTCTCTAAAAACCCACTTCAAGTCTGCACCCTCTCACGTGCACGTCGTTCAGTAAACTTACATATCTCGTTATATACTTTCAATTTCATCCGACATCTCCCACGAAGGCCTGCTAGAGTGGTATATTAGTTTAACCTTGTATGCGCTGTAGTACAGTAGTTATGAATAGACGGAAGTGTGTTCCTGCAGTCGCAGACTTAGACTAGACCCTCCAAGCTTTGTCCATATGCATCAGAGCCTCTGTATATAGTACAAGAGATTCTGAGGGATCACGATTCAGAATAGCAGACATGTATGGCTGCAAATATAGACAGCAAAAAATCACACAAGACCGATGCAAACTAGAAAGCAAAATCACGAATCATGGCGCATCCGCCGGGGGTCGCACACGCAATATCACCTTCGGAAGCTTCTTTGAGGGCGCTCCGTCCTCTACCTTGACCTCCTGCTTAACGTCTCCTTCTGAAACACTGCTACTAGAAGACCATGACTGGTCCGGGGCTGACCCAGTGGTAGGTGACGATTCCTTGTCCGAGAGCGGCCGACTGGCCTTGGGTGCCTTCTTGGCAGCACTCTTGCCCCTTGGCGATGCAGCCGGAGAAGTCGTGGAGCTGACGCTGGAATCTGGTTTCTTGCGGTCCCGCAGACTCCTAGAGCTGGAGCTGGGATGCATCCAAGCCTTCTTTGAGGACGAAGACGATGTAGGCTCCATGAACGCAAGAATCTCTGACGCTCGGCTGAGCCATGGTTCTGAGGCAAACGTGCTGATAGACTGGCGACCTCCTTTGCGAGGTTTTGTGGCTTTCTCGAGCTGAAAATCAAGGGTATTAGCATCGCATTCAGATGTCGGATGAGGGAAACGAAGAATTACCTTAACTAGGTTGTCAACGCTCCACCAGTCCTCGTCAATTGCGCCGGCACTTGGATCGACGAGCCCGCAAAGATGGGCCATCGCACCGCTTTCGAGGGCTCTATCACTGTAGCCGCCCTCAAGAACACTAATAACTCTTCCGCGCGCGTAGCGCTCGGCGGACGCGCATATCTCGCGTGTGAAGCGGTGGTAGAACGATGTCGGCACCTTGCGACCATGCCGAGACATCGATTCGTACTCGTGTTCGCAGGCGTCGAAGCCACAGCTAAACGCACTTCTGTGTTAGAGCAAGTAGACGATGAAGCCAAGGTACATCACCTGATAAAGTAGATAACATCGTCGCCTGGACCACCCGTGTTGTTGAGAAACTCTTCAGCTTTTGAGAGAAGCCTCCGATACTTCGAGCTGTATAAGGTTCCCCAGAAGTGTTGGTCCGATTCGTAGGCTTGGAGGTGAATGTTCTCGATGTGTTGTCCATGTGAGCCGTGGATGGAGACCGACGCAGCTTGCACGAGTTCTGGCTTCCCGTCCTGGTTTACCGATCGTATCAGTCAACAAACTGGAAGGAAGGTGTTGGTACCTCGCAAGGAAAGGATAGAACGTCATGCAATGATCCGTAGTAGATACGGGGACCGGCATTTTGAGAAGTCCCCGGCGCTTGCTCAGACTCAAGAGCCTGTCTATACGATTCTTCGTTTATCTGCCACACGATGGACTGCGTGCCGTTGCCTAACCCGGATCAGCTATCCGAAAGGCAATGAATGCGTCGCGCTTACCGTGGTGCAAGTCGATGTCCAGAATGACGATTCGATTTATGCCGTGTTTGAGGTGTGCTGTGAGTACTCAAGTCAAAACACAGCCGCGTCGACAATGCGCGAACACACCATGAGCCGCGCCAATCGCGACGTTGTTGACGAAGCAGAAGCCAGCCGGTGTATCCTCTCCACAATGGTGCCCTGGTGGTCGGACGGCGACGAACGCGTGGTCTGAACGCGGATCTCCAGTTGATCCAGACAAGACATCATCCACAGCCTCACAAACAGCACCGATAGCGCCTTGCATCGCGTCGACGGATTCGGGACAGACTAAACAATCGATTTACCAGGTTTGTAGTTTCGTAGCAGTAAAGGTGGAGACGTACGATAGAGATCCAGCGGTGGGTATCCTTCGGGTATCTCGCGACCGGTCTCCACGATCTTTTCTTTACTTGTGCGTGCCCACTCCTTGATATTTTCGAGATAAACGTCACCTTCAATGTCGCCATGTATGTATTTGACAGCAGCGTGGTCGAGGATGTCTACGGTAGCGGTACTTTTGACGATATTTACCCCTGGCACACGTATCCCGGGGGCAATCGCGCTCGTGTCGTCCTTTGCCAGATTCAATCGGCCCAGCGCGGACGCGAGGTCGTCCGGTTCAGACGCGGATAGCAAACTTGAGGCGCCTGCTTTAGCCTCTACCACAGCGTTCCCAGAAAGCCTGCCGGGTTCGGAACGTGAGGCATTCTCGTGTCCAAGCTGACGCGCCGTTGCACCCTCCAGACGAGCAAGCGCTGCCGCGAGGCCGACCTTGACAGCACGCACGCGTTGGGGGCGTTCCACGACGCCTGAGGTGTCGCGCGAGCGGATATAACGGTGGAGAAGACATGCGTCTTGGAGATAAACAGTCGTGTTACGCGTGGCCGACGGGTGAGAAATCATGGGAGATTGCAGGTCTGACGTCACTGTGTCTGCAGGCTTTCTAGCACCGATGTTGACGGAACTTCCACCCTGAGCTGAGGAGGCCGAAACTTGTCCTTCGCTCATCACGGTGGAGAAAATGGGCGTTGATATGGCGGAGATGAATGGTGAGTCGCAGGTTGAGTTATCGGTGTAGTACCTCAAGTTGATAAGGTGTAATTCGGGACAGGCGTCGGACATGCGCGTGCGCGTTCTTTGTCACTGTTTGGAATCCTAGGTGCCAATGTCATCTGCCCCCGGCTTTCACGTTCTGCGGCCTTCCCTTCATCCTACACCGTCTCTGTGCACGCACTTCACCCCTAGGCTCGCTGATTCTCAATCGGTCATATCGGACCTGGCCGCTAAGTTTCTCTCATAAAGTTACTCTCGCAATCTTCCGGTCGATCTGGGCGAAGGGTAGCTCAAAAGAACAAAGAAAGCTTGATCCCCGTGTCCGCACGGCACGAACTGATTATCAACTCAACTTTGCTCGGAGCCCGGCGGCACACGCAGGCTTAATTTCCGAACCCTCGTTGATCCTTGAGGCCTCGAGGAGTGCCTGTGAGTTGCCTATATTGTCCGCCTCGGCTGAGTCAGTATCCTGAGTACGCAAAGCTCTCTATCCACTGGGTGATAAGGCTGTCCGCACCATGGGAATCGTATGCACGCCGTATGTTTATGAGGAAACTTGGGTCCACCTCAGGACTAAATCGGATCATCCATGCTGCTTGCTTGTTGCCTGTGGAGTCCCGGCGCTACTAGTCACTTTTCACTATTTCAATTCTCTCTGCATCACCAACAACTACATCTTGTCTCTGGGTCTGGGCGGAAATATATCTGTCCCTTTTCTGGAGTTTCTATCTGTTAATTCGTGAGGTTGTACACTGGAGAGAAATGCGACAACCTTCGACAAGGGATAAGGGCTATTTTTGGTCTATCTAGCGCACAAACTCTCTTTAGACGCTTGGGCGCTTCTTGGGCGCTTAAAGGCCGTCCATCTGACTGCCAGCATGTTCCGAACGTTCTGCCTATGACGATTGGACCGTCATCTCGCGGTCCACAGAGACAACGTTTCTGCAGCAAGAATAAAGCAATGATGCCGAGTGCGCTTAGGTTTATAAAGACGTAGCGGGGCATGCTGGCTGCATTCACTCCCCACCTCTCATTCCACCATCATCCTCCAATGACCATGTCGATGGGCTCCTCGTCAGTGAACCCTTCGCAGATGGGCACTTGGACAAGGAAGCCTCTGACAGCAGAGCCTCTGTCGTTTGCTGACTCTTATTCTCAATCGACTGGCTCTCGATCGACGGAATCTCGGCCATCGAGATCATGCAGTAGCCCCGACTTGTGCAGTCATCATGCGTATGCTATACTCCCCTGTTAACGTCATTACCGAAACTCATTATCTTTACAGTCAAGGACCTGCTGCTGGTGCGCGATTGTCGGTGAAACTCTCAAGTAAGATCTGTCCCCCTGTCCTTGGTATCATACTGATCACACCCTCGTTTAACCAGATGTTTCCGCGCGCGGGCTCCCCGAACTATCATTCTTCAACCTTCCACACACATTCAACTTGAAGATTAAACTCGGCGGACAATCGCGAACATGTCAAGGTACACTGGCAGGTTTCCGCGATGGCGCCTTTCACTGGGACGGCCCCGAGTATTTGTGAGCCTAGCATCATGCTGTCAGTCTATCATCCATGTACTCAATGTAGCATCAACACTAGCACCGACGTAAAAGGCAACGCCAACATCGATCTCGAAGTCTGGTCCGACCACAACCACGACTACGGGCGCACGCAGAGCTCGCTGACCTCCCTCCGGTTCGACGCCAGCGGCACACACGACGAGTACGGCTGTCTTGAGCACGAAACTCGGACTTGGAAGGCCGTATTTCGCAAGCCGCTCCAAGGAGCCGCTTTCTACAGACAAAGGGGGGCCGAGATCGTGTTCACACTCTCTCTTACGACCATCGGGACCAAGGGGTGGCTGCAGCGAAAGTGCACAGTGCCTCTAAGCTCGCAGGAGAGTCTGCTGAGCGAAGGCTCGGCATGAGCTACGGTGGAAGGAGAGGTGGAATGTGTATGACCTCGTTGACTCGGAGGAGGCACTGGTGCCTGCCTTAGTTTCCTTTGCTGCATCTCAATTTCTATTCTTATCGTTATAGCAAGCTCTGCGCATGCGCAGCTGCATTTGAATTGTACTTCATACACGTGCATATTATCAAGTATGTCTTCTGTGTATACACTGTACGTATTTCGCGCGATGCAACTGGGAGGAGGATGGTATGAGACCGACGCGTACCATATCCTTACCGCTCATTGAAGTAATGACATCACACTGTCCTATATAACGAACCCGTCTCTACCTAAACTGCCGAGGGCCGCCAGAGGGTTTGAGATCTTCGATTTCTAAGGAGTCGAGCTGATGGGCTATTGACCCGAGTCCGTACTGCCACCACTAGTTGGGAAAGTTGTCCGGGTACAACATTCGTGCGATAACCATTGTTTGCTCTTTGGTTTGCTCTATCGTAGTTAGTGGTTGTGATCAGAATCAGAGGCGCTCGTAATTTTACACGGAATAAGTGCGATGAATACGACCGCACGGTCACGGCAGCAAGTAGGTACTAATACGGAGGGGAAATTTGGGAGGGGTCGACCGTACTATGTGGCGCTAGCGTTCGGCGTTCGGCACAATTCCGAACATCCAACCACGCCGAGCGCGTTCTTTGCGCATATTTGGAGCCACATAACCATTCGGATGTCCCATAATTTGCAGCTTGCATTTCTTCACACTTACCTCCATCCTATGCTCGCCATCATCCAGCTGGCGCACACCCCGACGCTAGCGAGGTTCGCCGAAGATCTCACAAGTGGCTAACTCCTGGAAACGCGCCGCTCTTGATCCTCCGTTCGATCTTGGGCAAAGGGTAACTTGGAAAATGCCTGACGCCCGCGTCAATACCACATCTACATGCTACGAGGTTGATTATCAACGCAACTTTGCACGGAGCCCCGCACACTCAGACTTAATTTCCGAGACTCGCTGATACCTGGGGAATGCCTGTAACAAGCGTATGTTGTCCGCATAGCTGAGCTAGTATACCAAGTTCACAAGTCACAGCCCTCTATCCATTGGGTGATAATTCTGTCCGCTTGACGGAAACCGTGTGCATGCCGTATGTTCATAAGGAACATTGGAGTCCATCCTAGGGCAGAATCAAACTTTCCATGCCGTCTACCTGTTGCTGTGGAGCCCTGCAGTTAACAGCAACGTCACACTGCTTTAATCCTCTCTGCATTGCCAACATCGCCGTTCTCTGGGTATATCCACACCATAGTTGTTCTTTCTCCGATGTCTATCTGCTGAGCCATGACTCCTTGCTTCCTGCAGAGAAATGTGGCAAACCTCGACAAGAAATAGGGGCTATTTTGGCCTATCCAGCTGACAAATATTCATTAGACGCTCGAGTGCGTCTTAAGCGCCCAAGCTCAAAATCGTCCATTTGATGCTGAATGACATGTTCTGTCATTACCTATGACGAATGGACTTCACCTCACGGTCCGCAGAAACAGTGTGTCTTGCAGCAAGAACAAACCAAAGGTGCCGCGCATGCTTTATAGTATAAAGACGTAATAGGGCATGCACTGGCAGGCCGCATTCACCCCCAGCTCTGATTCCACCCATCATCTTACCATGACCATGTCTATGTGCTCTCCGTCAGTGGACTCCCTGTCGATGGGCCCTCTGACAAGCGACCCTGTGCCAATTGGTTCTCAGTCGACGCGCTCTCGGTCAATAGACTCTCGGGCATCAGAGTGCCCTACCCCAGACTTGTGTCAAATCCAGTAAGTCAGGTATTTGTATTGCTCCTGTTACCGAAACTTACCGACTTTGTAGTCAAGGGTCCTCAGGAACATCCCGGCTGCTGGTAAAGCTATCAGGTATCAGTATCTGCCTCTCTGGTCCCGATACTGTAGTTAATAACATATTCCAATCAGACGTTGTCGCACATGGACTTCCTGAGTTATCACTGCTGCAACGGCACTCGCACACATTCGATCTGACAATTCGGCTTGGAGGACGTTCCGAAACGCGTCGAGCCGCAGAGTTCCGCGATGGCGTCTTCCGCTGGAACGAGCACGTCTACTTGTGAGCCCCACATCCAAGTTTCTGATCTTCCAGTACGACACACGCGCTCAACGCACCGCGGACACACAGCACCGACGTCCACGGCAGCGCCGATCTCGAACTCCAAGTCATATCCGAACACCACCACGACCACGGCCGCACGCAAAAGAGCACCATGAGCGCCCTCCGGTTCGACCAGACCGGCGCACACGACGAGCACGGGTGCATGCAGCACAGGACCCGGACGTGGCGCGCCGTCCTCCGCAGGCCGCTCCTCGGCGCCGCTTTCTACAGGCACAAGGGCAAAGGCAGGGGCGCCGAGATCGAGTTCACGCTCGCGGTGACTACGCTCGGGAGCCGGGTGTGGCTGGAGCGCAGGTGCACGGGGAGCTCGCAGGGAAGTCGGCAGGGGAGCTTGGCGAGCCAGGCTTCGCGTCGGTGATGTCAGAGGAGGCACTAGGGTGCCTTCTTTGCCAATTTGCTTCGTTGTATGGTATTGTTGCTTCAGTTTTTATCATTACACACCAGTTTTAGCTACAAAGTGCATTTTGTATTTTACGCATCCAACATATATGTGTAGCCACAGCGTGGCTAGCACATATACATATGGTTCCACCTGTTGCAAGGCTTGGATCCACCTTCATGTGTCCCATAGGTAAACTTCTTCCATAAGAGTCACCCGACGCTACGGTCGAACAGTGGTCGTAATGTGCTCACCGTGTCAGTATAATGCCCAACCACATTTCTCCCCAACATCGATAGTATAGTACAGAACATCTCCATCACCAATATATACAGCCCTGGGTACCCTAACCTAATACCCGAGCGCACGCAAGATAGAAAACCTATTGTGATCGCTCGCAGCAAAAAAGAAACGAAAGAAAAAAGATGATCGTGACGATGCGTATAGTAGTACATTGTGCAGATTAGACGCAGTGTAAAGTAGACATAAACATCTGAAGCAAAGCAAAGGCAAGAACGGACAGCAACAGGATAAGGCTACTGCTGTGCCCACCACGCGGGGAGGTGCACCATGACAGCCTCCTCGACGCAGCGCGTGCACATCCAGTCGTCGCGCTGCCAGCTCTTGTACGCATCGCGATCGCGCATACCGTAGATCGCGTCCATGTACTCGGGGTACGACACCAGCGCACGCGGCGGCGGCGGCAGCTCCGACGGCTCCGTCTCGATCAGCCCGAGCTGCTGCAGCTTCGTCTCGACGGGGGCCACGTACGCGCCGAGGAGATCCCAATCTGCGAGTACATCAATCAGCCCCTACGTCTTTAGTCGAAGCGACAGTGTTAAGAGCGACTCACTCGTGGGGTTGAACAGGCTGAGCCCCTTGACGGCGTTGCAGCGCGCACAGCGGTCCTTCGCGCCGTTGACGCTGTCGAGCAGGACGCCCGCGCCGGCAAAGTGCCAGGTGGGCCGGACGCCGCGCTCGACCCAGATCTGGTGGAGCGTGTCCGTGAGGAAACCACGTCGGCCGGAAGAGAGATGGGCCTTGTCGGGCATGTGGGCCTTGCGAGCGGCCGCGGTGAGGATGCACGGTGGGCCGCAGGTGAGGATGGAGTCGATGGTTAGCTCTGCGGATATATAGGTTAGAATTTGAGGAGCACGTTGGAAAGAGACGAGTGTTTACCGTAGTTCTCGGTGTTCTCGACTGCAGAGGCGACGGCACGCTTGAGGAAGCGCGCGACGCGCTCGATCTCCCGGAGCTCGGTGGTAGAGAATGCGGAGAGGAAGGCGAGTGCAGGTTCCTGGACGAAGTTGTGGCTCTCTTGTTCGCACCCTGTCAACCTTGCATTGCCGTAGAGGACTGAGAAAAGCCATATTCTGTAGACGGCGCGTTGGAAGCGCGTGGATTCTTGGGATGTTAGCTGTGATGTCCGCGACGTGCGATCCTTCTCCCTACGTACAACGGTTGCGGGTGAGTGCCCCAACATACACGTGAAATAGCTGAAGGGCGCTTACCTGAAGCTGAAGAGGTCTTCTAGACCGCAAATGATCTTGTTGACATGGGCGAGGAGCTGAGCTTCTTCCCAGGTGATCCGCGAGTTTTCGACGCACTCCTCCTCTGAAGGTACTACCTTTGGGCGCTTCTGAGCGTCATATGAGCGCACGAGACGGAGTGCCTGGGGCAATGCCGGGCCGATGTGGTTGTACGCGACTTCGCTGAGGATGTGGAGTGGCCGGGCATTGAAGACGTTGTAGGCGGACTTGGAGGCGAGGAGGGTGGATCGGAGGGAAGAAAAGGAGGGGAGAGAAGCCAGAAGGCGATCTGTGACATCGAGGTTGCACGCAAAACAATCTTCGGCGTGCATATTGGCGTTTACGATGAGGGCAGGAGGATGGAGGAGCTGGTGCGAGATGAGTACAAGAGTCTATCCAGAGAATGAGGATGACTGACCACAGGGGATGAACGTGCCCAGTCAGCTTGTGGCTGAGTAGAAAGTGTTCGCTAGGTGGGCTGGTGGGTTTCGAACGCTGTCATTTGAAGGGGCGGGGGAGGTATATAAGGCATGGAGCGGGGAAGGGACGCTATGCCAAGCTAATGTGTCCGCTAATAAGATGCTTCATCTGGCATAATTGGCCCGGTCGTTCGGCACAACCCCGTCCCCTCCTCCTTGATCCTCCCTTGATCCAGCCTGCGAAATCCTCCTCGTCACTTCCGAGCTTCAACGTGTCACGTTCGACAACACCCGCGCTACATCCCACCGGAGCATATCGTGGGCTAAGCTCGGAAAACACTTGAGCCCGCCGTGAGCTCAAGAATGAAAGATAGAGAAGAAGGCTATGGCGACATCTGACGCCAAAGTCGTCATCGGGCTCGCAGAGGTGCAATCCGAGCATACCCCCTTCTTGACCATAATATGATAAGACCGCGAGTGTTCTTTGCTATGCCAGCCGGTTCGCCTCCCCTGTTGGCTTGTTGATGTCCCTGCGCAAGATGCACCCTACCACTAGTCTGCACACCTGACTATACCGAGACAGAAAAACATTTGCCCCCCGCCATAGGCTGTTCATACGGGTACCTACAAACTAACCGAAAGGGCAAAACGACATGTGCAGCATCTTTGATCTTTGACGTCGGACGCTTTTACCCCACTCGTAGACGCTCTTGTCTGCTCTTGTCTTCTCTTGTCGCAGCGCAAGGCCGGCTCTCTCCGGCTGTTACCTCTTGCTATAGATCGCGTACACATGCCACTACAGCTTTCTGGCGGAAATCTATGGGTCTACAGCTCAGCTTCTCCATTCACTTGCTTTTAAAGCAGTACTCACCGTCCCTCGTCGAGACTCGTCTAGGCCTCAAACCACATGCATCTTCGTTCTAACAGAAAACTCGACTACATATGGGACTACTCTAGCTCGAGCAACTCACTGCGCGACTCTTGAGCATTACGGATCAAACCTCGAGGGCTCTTGTGCCGTCGTCGAATGGTTACTTACGTGTTCCTCCGTCGGCGCTTGACGTGAGATCGATCTCCTCGTAGAATACCGGGGATAATCTCATTGGGTACAGGCCACTACATGAGCGCTGAGCTACGGGGTCTACTTATCGTGGTTTTCTCTCAGCCAAATCAGAAAGTCAAATTTGAACATAAAGCCTTCCCGCGTATACCTCACCGTGTCTCGCCAGTAGCCCCGTCGAGCGACAAGATACCCTCGACCATTCCCGAAGCACTCTCCGCGTCCGGCGGTATTTCTGTTTTCTGCAAGTGAGCAAGCATCGGAGTCGCTCATCCTGGACCCGAGTCTAGCGTTCGACATTCAATGCTCTCGGGCGCCGAAGAGCCTGGGTAAGCCAAGCTGATGCCGTCGTCGAGGATCGCCTTGGTGCGTGTGGATTGTGTCCTTCTCTCTATTCTCTATGTGAACGTTCTGGTTTCTCATCCTCTCCCTGCGCGCTCCTTCGAAGCCTGTCCTTCCCGGCCCAGCTTGCTTCTGTATCATGATGGATCGATCTCAGTGTACCCGCGGGGGCTCCCAGCACCCCCACGACGTGGGAGATCCGCTTGACGTCTGCCGTTCAGTCAGCTCACTGTATGAGAAGAAAGGGGCGTACTTACAAGTGAATTACGATCTCGTTCTTCCATTCAAGTTAGCAGGCTTTAGCCACTCAAAGCTACTACTAACTACACCTCGCTTCTGAGAGTGAGACGACCTCTCTCATCTCGTCTCGCTTCGCTGATCAACCTCGGGAGAAACTCGGACCACTGCGTGGCGTAGACGAAACTTCTAACGCAGCTATCGGCTTCCATCACGAACAAGCTGGGCCTTCTGCGACCGAATCTCGTCACCTCGTCTGCTCGGTCAGCTATTACATCTCGTCACGTGACATGCGAAGCCAGTAAATTCAGCAGATTTTGGACGGTGGTGAGGTGTTCTGGTTGATCAAGTGATACTTTACAGCGTCGCATTTGAAATTTGAAAGGTCATACTTAGGGCTTGAAGCCGTTGCATACGTGTCCGAGGGTTATTATTGCTTATTCGGATTTTCTCTCAAGCCTGGGCCTGAGGAACCGCTGCATTTGCTGGTTTAGATCACATCCATCCATTCCTGTATGCCAAGGGATCAACCCCGTTGAAGGCGCTTCAATGCCAATGTACTGATACTCTAAGAGCCTGATGACTATCTTCTGATGTATTCGCGGTGCTTTCATTTCCTAAGCTCGGTTTCGAAGAATGTTAATTCATAGACATTTGTAAGCACTTCGAGCAGCTACTCCTAACCGCTTTCATGAGGCGCTCGCTTCGCGAGCCTGAATATCAGTATTGTCAGTCGTTCTGTTGCCGCCGACGGACATTAAGTACGTAAAAGTTGAGAACTGAATAAAATGAAGATCGACTGGTCCTTGGAGAGCCCAATGTTTGCTGCAAACGTTCAATGTTACCCGTTGTCCGTTGCCACTACGGACGAGTCAACCCAGCTCTCAAGCTTCAAGTTTAAGTCCGAGTCAAGGACTTGGAGAGCTGGACCCCTATCTTCGCGACGCGATCACGGTTTGGGCACGTGGCTTACACGCGTCGAAAACACGCGTCGTGGCTGAGAGGGAAGGCGTTGGTGATAGTAATACGAATCCGTGGGCGCGGGTATCAGGCGACTGGGCTCGTGCTTTGCCTCATGGCCGATGGAGTGCAGCTCCCGTTGGCTTCACCCTCTCTTGTTTCCTCCCTGACTCTACCTCGCCAGATTCATCTCGTCAAAGGCTCAAACTTGGCCTTTCAGTGCTTTCGCTGATTCCTCTGAGCCTGCTCGCGATCTTGCTTGATCTCGCTTCGAGTACTTACAAGGCTGCGCCGACCTGTCGCCCTCGATTATTCGACATTGAATCATCGGAAGAACGGGAGTGGCACACGACGCGGCGGGCTTGAAGGGTAGATAAGAAGAACATACCCACTGCATTCACAGTCACAAAACGCGATGCCCCAGCGCAGCGGAGGCGAACAAAGCGGTACGTTTTTCGAGGTCACTCGCACCTTCGATCGCTAACACGCGCCCCCACCTCTTCTGAATTATTCCCGCCTCACTGACCGCGCTCTCGCCCTACCCGCCCCACCAACGCGAACTCACCCATCGATGGCACGGCACCAACGACAAGACTGCAGCTACGACATCGTCCTCTGGGACGGCGACGTCCCGTGCGCCGTTCCAGCCCCCACCCACGGCCGTGGCCATGGCCCCAGCGCAGGCGGCGCGGCGGATCCCAGCCGCCAGGGGGCCCGCACGCGCCGCCCGCCGCCGGCGCCGGCGACGGTCATGCAGATGGTCGACGACGACTTCGACGCGGTGACGTACCCCGACACTGCGTTCCCTGCGTACAGCACGTGGGAGGCGGAGGCGGAGGCAGAGGACGGGCGGTGTCCTGTGTATCGTGAGGGCGTGTTGCAGGATGTGCACGATGGACCGCAGATGAGCGCGATGCGTTGTGAGTCGGGCTGTGATGGTTGTGGGCGCGGCGGAGGGGCTGGGTATGGGCAGGGGCAGGAGAGCGAGCGGTGTTATGAGGCGCGGTCGAATGGGTGCGATGATGGGAGTGGTAGGGGTAGTGGTAAGGGAGATAGGGTCCGGGACGACGGGTACGGAGGCCGTGGTGTGCAGGCGCTCAGACCGGGCATGCTGAGCCGGACGGACTCGAGGCGCACGGACGGGGAGAGTGGTCGGCAGAGGGAGAGGGAGATCGAGCATACCATGGCGAACATGAACATGCGCGGGGAACCTTACGCGCCCAGCGAGCAGGGGGTATCGGCGGTGTCGGAGGTGCGCTCGCCGAGGATGAAGGCGAGCGAGGGCAAGGCAGGCTCGGGCTCCAGCGCGGGAGGTCCAGGAGGCACCACCAAGAAGGGCAAGACGGTGACTGACTGGCGCGAAGAGGTCGCGCGCCGCGCGGTGGCGAATGGACACTCGCTCGCGCGGACGCCGCAGCACTCAGAGGTGCGACATCAATACTGATTTCACTCTGTAGATCGTTCGTAGAGCTCAAACACGCACAGGGCGCCCCCTCGGTCTCGGCCGGCGCCTCCTCCTCCTCCGAGGCGCGCGCGCGCGTCCGCCGCATCCCGCCGCCGGACGCGTACCCGCCCGCACAGGCGTACATGTCGCGCTCCGAGCGGATGTACACGCACTCGGAGCTCAATATCACCATCCCCGGGGGCGGGGGCGGGGGCGGGCTGCTCGATCCCATCTCGACGTCGACGCCCAAGGCGTCGCAGCATCCCCCGTCCCAGTCTCAACCCCAGCAACAGCCCCAGCAACAGGCGCCGTCCCAGCAGACACCGCCCCGCCACCGCGGGCCCGGCCAGGGCGACTACGACCGCACGCGCGACCGCTCGCGGGAGCGCGAAGAACGCGCGGAACACGAGCGCCAGGAGCGGCGCGCGCGGCGGCGCGAGAGGGAGCGGATGCGGGAGCGCGAGAGCAGTCCGGCGCGGTCGGAGCATATTTATACGCTCGCGGAGCTGAATGCGCTCTCGAACGACGAGTATATCGCGCAGCTGCATGAGCGCGCGCGGAGTCGGCAGGCGCAGGCGCAGGCGCAGGCGCCGGAGCCTGTGGAGAGGGGCGCGGAGTCGCCGGATGCGGTGGCCGGGGCCACGCAGAGTCAGAGGGAGAGGGAGAGGGAGAGCCAGGGCAGCCGCAGCAGAGGCCAGAGCAACTCGCCGCGCAGCTCGCCCAACTCGCGCCCGCGCGGCGGCTCGGGATCCGCGTCTTCCCCGCGCTCGCCGCTCCAGACCCACTCTCACTCTCACTCTCACACCCAGTCCCAACTCCACTCGCACTCGCACTCCCTTTCGCACTCAGAAGGAATCCCCACCCCGCCCGCACCCTCCGCATACGTCTCGCGCTTCCTCACCACGCACTGCACCCCGCCGCTCACGCACCTCGCGCCCGTGCTCGGCGCGCTCGGCGTGGCGGGGGAGACGCACATGCGCGCGATGGCGCGGCTGAGCGAGGAGACGCGGGACCGCGAGGTCAAGGCGGAGATGCTCAGGCGGGGCGCGACGGTGCTCGAGTGGGCGGTGTTTGTGGATGCGCTAAGGGGGCTTGCTTGATTTGCGTTGGCTGTCGGTGGTGGTGGGCGTGGGGGTTTTTGGGAGGAAATTTAGAGTGATGTTGTACGATGTAGAATTTGACTGGGTGTTTTCTTCTTCTTCTTGATTTCTTGTTGTTGTAGAGAACGTAATTCGCCATGCATGCCAACGACGTCCGTTAACCACTCGAATGAGCCGTGTGCCGATGTTCCAAAAAATACCTATGAAACTTGCACGTCAAGACGAGCGAAAAAGTCTAGGTCCATTACAGATATACTCAGTACGATATACACAGTGCACGAAAAAAGATGAACAGAGCGAACGGTCGAACAACATAACCCCAAAACCGCTCCCAGCGCCTCCCTATTTCTTCGTCTTGCTCTTCTTGCCCGTCTTCGAATCCGCCTCCTCCGCCTATCGCAGCTACAATCAGCACTCGCACATCCCAAACCGCCTCTCTAACACGCACCTTTCGCTTCGCCCCACCCTTCTTGCCCTTCTTATCCTCCCCCGCGTCCTTGGCACCCCTCTTCTTCGGCGGGGAAGACGACGAATCCTTGGGCTTAACGGTGAAAAACCCATCGAGCCGGCCCTGCTGCTTCGTGTTGAGGAAGCGCTGGAGCTTCTCGGCGCCCTTGCGCACGCGCTCCTCGTTGAACCCTTTTTCGGTCACGAGGAAGCGGACGAGGCCGTCGACGTCGGGGTCTTTCCATTCGAGCTGCGGTTAGTGAGCCAGTGAGTCAGTGGGTCAATGGGGGTGGGGGAGAGAGAGGGAGAGGAGAGAGAGATGTGTGGGACAAGATGGGTGGAAGGAAGGCGCACCTCGACCTCGTCGGCGGGGAGAACGTCGGGCTTCTCGAACAGCTTTTTGGCCTCCTCCCAGGGCCACTCCTCCGGGACCTGGATGCCGCCGCTCTTCTTCTTCTTCCCGTCTTTCCCGTCTTCCTCTGCTGCTGCTGCTGCTGCTTCCGCCTTCTCCGCCTGCCTGCATCATCCGTTCAGCACACCCACACTCCGCGCAAACAGAACCCACCCACTTCTCCCGCAGATGCTCGACAACGCCCTTCAACCCGCCATACTCCCTAATCAACTTCAACGCGCTCTTCGGGCCGACACCCTTGATCGGCTCGAGATAGTCGCACCCGAGGAGGATACACAAATCAATGAACTGGGACATGTCCATCTCGAGCCCCTGCAGCGCGCGCTCGAGGTGGATCTCGCTGATGGGCGCCTTTTTGGCCTCGGAGAAGGTGAGGTGCCGGAGGAGGACGGGCGCGTGGAAGGTGAGCGTGTCCATGTCCTCTGAGCCGGCGGCGTAGACTTTGCCGCCGCGCGCGAGCTCGGCGCATTGGGCTTCGGCTTCTGAGGGGGCCTGTGGGGTTGTGTAAGTGGGGGTTTATACAGATACGATGAGAGGGGGGAGGGGACGTACGACGATGACGGGGATGCCCATGAGGCGGAGGAGCCGGCGGCATTCCTCGTTGTGCTCTTTAGTGACGCGGACGGTGCGCCGGGAGAAGCGGTCGACGTCCTCTGCGGTGCCTGTTTCCTTCGCCTCCTCGCCCTCCTCCTTGGCCTCTTCGCGCTTTTCGAACCGTTTCGAGAGCTGGAACGGGCGTGTCAGAGAACGGGACGGTTGTGCTGGTGGGGACGTACGACGCCGGACTTGAGGTCTGGGGGTTTGCCGTCGAACACGTACGCGGGCTTGATTCCGTTCTCCACTATTCGTATCGTGCGGTAGAAGAATCCCATGAGGTGGCTGTAAAGTAGCTACCCGTCAAGTTCCCAATGAGTGAACAAACAACGACGAACAGACCTGGTCGTCTCGCCAGCGTCGTTGGTGAGCATCTCGCCGTCCTTTTGCCTGACGGCGATGAGGAACTGGTATATGGACATGGAGGCGTCGATGGCGACTTTGCGGCCGAAGAGGGTCTTGATGTCATGCTCCTGGGCGGCCGGGTAGGGAGTGAGGTCAGCGGGGCGTCGTCTGGGGCTCGCGGCGGGTGAAGAGGGGGAGGAGCGGGGGAGGGAGCGGTATACCTGGATGGCCTTGGGAGCGTGCTCGTTGATGAGGGCGGTGAGGCCTTTGATGCCCATTGTGATAATTAGGGGAGAGGAGAGACAGACGCGTGCTGTGACGGAGACGCGTGACTGACGCGGTGGTGAGTGTGACGTAACGCAGATGATGCCGTATTCTTCTGCCATGGACGCCCCAAGGAAACGACGGAGACTCGACACAGATGGTCAGTAGGCGACACTGTATATATCATAGACTGACGCGATAGACAGCCAAGGACGACGAGGATGACCCCAAAATGCGCCGTCTTCTCGCAGAAGAAATCGACCTCGAGATATCGATCCGGCAGAGACTAGTCGCCACCCTCGAGTCCCGCATAACATGGGCCATCCTCATGCAGGACGCACTCCAGAGCGACCTCACCAGTCCCTCACACTCCTCTCCCCGACAAGACACCGAAGACTTCCAAGACGCCGCCCTCGACGCCCTCGACGCCGCCGACTGTTCCGCAGCTTTCATCTTCGACCGCGACGCCTCCCACTCCCTCGACCCCCCCGACTCCCCCCGCGACTTCTCCCCCCTCGCCCCACCATCCCTCCCGCCTCCCCTCCCACCCCGCACACACAAACCCCGCCTCGCCAGCAGCGCCCTCCGCCCCGGCACCCGCGGCTACGGCTACGGCACCGGAGGCACCGCCAAACTCATCTTCATCCGCGACAGCACCGTCGACCCGCCCGTCCTCGTCAAAATGGCCTGCCCCGACTGCGCCCGCACAGACTTCACAAACCTCCAGGGCCTGCTCAACCACGCCCGCCTCCGCCACAAGCGCGAGTTCGGCACACACGACGAGTGCATGCAGACCTGCGCCGTCGTCGTCCCCGAGCACGACCGCGACTGGGTGCTCGCGAACGGGACGGAGCTCGGTGGTGTGAGCTTGCCGAGCATTAGGAGGCTGTTTGAGATTGCGGTGGGCCAGGAGAGCGGGTATGCGCCGCTCGCGCATGTGCAGCCCCAGGCGCCTGAAGAGGGTCCGGCGTCTGAGCGTGCACCGATGGACGCGAGCTCAGGGGGCGCAGGGCCGCCCCCTGAAGAGGCGCCCGCTGTCGTGGAGGGACCGAGCACGCTCCTCTCGCGTACGCTCGGCCTGCACGCTGACACGCCCGCACTGGCCGCCTTTCTCGGCAGGACGCCCAAGCGGCGCGGTATCAACGTCTACGACGCCGACAAGTGCGTAGATATCCTCGGTCTCGAGCCACCAGACGCGAACGCGAGCAAGGGGCGGGCGTGGCGAATGACAAAACCCTCGCGAAATACCCCGCGCGAGTCAGATCTGTCTACTCCGCCCCTTCCAATCGTAGTCCCTGAAAGTACTGCCAACGTGACCGAGGGCACGGGCGTGGACGATGCGTTTCCCGTGGCTCAGCCACTACTAGGAAGCGCGGGCGTCTCTGCGACGCGCTTCCACATCGTGCCCCGGATCGTAGTCTCGGACCGCAGCCTAACCATTCCCAAATGTACGTCTTTCCGTCCTTCTCAGCTCACAAAAACTGCCTACACAACCGTCTACTCCCTAGCACGCCGCTCAGAAGTCCCCGAGGGCCACACCCACCGCTGGATGCTCGGCGTCTCCTCGCCCTCCTACGTCCGTCCCCCATCCCCCTAGGAGCCAAGCCACTCACTCACTCACTCACTCACTTATACGCGCGACCACAGAGCCTACACATCACCGCCTTCCTCGCAAGCATGTCCGTCACCTGCCTCACGCAGCCCGCGCCCGCAGGCCTGGGCGGGGGCCCCGTCGTCGTCGACGGCGCGCCGTTCGCGGCCGTGGGCACGACGGACCGGCCGTTCCTCGCGCGGCTCACGCTCCGCTGGGCGGGCGGACGCACGCCGCCGCTCGAGGTGGACCATTTTGTCGAGGTGCGTTGCGGTCGTGCCGTCGTCTCGCATTTTCCTATTTCCCGCCGTGCTTCTCAATACTAAGACTAACTAACTCGACTCGAACTCGACTGTATTTGCTTTTGTTTTTGTCGTGCGCAGCTCGATGCGTACGGATCACAGTCGGCGGTGCTGGGCGAGGAACAGGTGCTCGACGTCGAGCTCGACGCGCGCACGGAGCTGTTGCCCGTGCGCGCGGGCGTGGAGCTGCCCGCGCTCGATGCGAGTGCGGCGCGCAAGGTGCGCATGGTGCGCGCGGAGGAGATCGGGGAGGCTGCTGCTGCGGTTGGTGTGGCCGCGGGTGCGGGAGGGGCTTCTTCGAGCGAGAATGGTGCGGGGTTGTTTTGCGCTGCTACTGCGGGGTGTAGGCTGACTGGGGGCGGGCAGCGTACGTGGCGGTGTTGAAGACGTTGTTGCCTCGCGCGCCGTTGACGATGAGAGGTGCGTCGTTTCGGCGCGATGGGGGTCGCGGGTGTGCTGATCGTGGGTTTTGCTTGCAGATGTGAAAGGACGCGGGACACCGCAAGTGACGTACAAGCTCGTCTCGTCCCCCGCCGAGCTCGCGAGACTCGTCGATGGGCGGCGCAAGGCGATCGAAGTGAGCCCGTCGCCCCTGCGGTTCCCCGTGAGTTGTCGAATTCTGACGCGCACGGACAGTGGGGCCGCGCCCGTGCGCTTCGCGAGCTGTACGACCACCGCGTTAAGCTCTCGCCGACCAGCCCGAGCGGGGACGCGTACAAGCCGCTCACCACCGGCGACGTGTACGCGTGGCTCGAGGACGAAGGGCATTTTCCGCGCTCAAAGGCCAAGCTCTCTGCGTCCGCCAACGTCGCGCACTCGGGCCCGAGCGGATCGGTAGGCCCCGACGGGAAGAAGATGGGCGGCGCGGCGGCCGTGGCGGCGGGGATGGACCCAAAGGCGCTGTTCGACGAGGTGTGCCATGTGTGTGGGCTCAAGCTGAAGATGCACCAGAGCGCGCGGGCGGGGTCAGGCGACGTGCTCAGGCGCGAAGGGGCGGCCGCGTGCGAGATTGTACCGGAGAGCGAGCGCAGGACGGGTGTGCCTGCGCTCGATATGGACCGGATTGCGGGGGGCGAGCTCGCTGCGATTATCCGCGCGATGCCGCCTGCGCGGGCTCCAGTGGTGGGTGTTACAGCGGCGGAGCAAGATCAAGATCAGGACGAGGATGGGGGCGGGGACGAGGACGAGGATGCACACGCGAAGAGATATTTCGCGCGGTACACCGCGCGCGACATCGTCTCGGCCGCGCACCCCGCGCTCACGCTCGCGACGTATCGCATCGCGCGCGCCCTGGGGCTCCCGCGTCTCCCGCGCGTGCCGGTGCCTGTGTCGGTGCCGGGCAGCGCCAGTGCGAGCCGGGGCGCGGTCGAGGCGCGCGTGGCGCCGTATGCGATGATGGCTGCGTGTGTGCGGCCGCTGGTGGGGGTGCTGGTGAGGCGCGCGGTGGAGGTGGCGAGGAGGGATGTGGCGAGGGCTGTTGCTGGGGATTGGGTTGGGGGTGCGGGTGCGGGTGCGGGTGCGGGTGCGGGTGCGGGTGCGGGTGCGGTGGGTGATGGGAGCAGGGAAGGTGGAAGTAAGGAGGGGGCCAAGGGAGGAGGGAGGAGGAAGGGCGGGAAGGACAGGGCGTGTGTGCTTACGCCGAGGCATGTGTTTAGAGGGCTGCAGGCGGGTGCGGCGGGGGTGTGTGGGGGTGGAGGTGCGGGGACGGGGCGGGCGGTGGGTATGCAGGGGTATGCTCATGTGGGTGCGGGTGTCGGTGCGGCGGGTGCGGGTGGACACGCGATGACGACGACGGCAGCGGATGCGGCGTTTAATGCTGCGGTGATGTGTCTTGGGAGGCTGGCTGTGCCTATGAGATTTTTGCAGGACGAGGAGGAGATGGATATGGCGGGGGTGGAGGGAGGTCCGGAGATGCGGGTGAAGCTCGAGCCTGAATAAATTGTCTTTTGGATTTTTCGGTCCGCTGGATATCTGAGTGCTTCGTTCGTTGGCTCGTCATTGCAGGAAGGATTTTGAGCATGTTCACACAGACAGCCTTGTCCGAGTTCGAGGAGTCTTCACGAAGGAACATAGCGGCTTGAGCGACGTCGACCGGCAACTTCCGGGCGGCTTGTCAACATGATGGCATCGTTGCCTTGATTGTTCCTTGAGCTGCCTCGCTTCGGACTGGCATGTCGATCTTTTCGGAACCTCGTGTCCTGTCGTCAACAGCGCCTCGTATGACTCCCGTATGCTGCACTGCAGTTCAATCTCGGGCTGTGCAGACTCGTGTGTTCAACGATGACCGTCTTGGTCAGGGATGACGGTGCGGTCAAGGTAAGCTCAAGGGCAGAGTTGGCCGTGACAGGTTGTGATTTGTCGCTTCGTGTCGGTGGTCTCGGGTTACCGTGTGAGATTGGTGTTGGGTGTCTTGTGGGCAGGTGCGTTGTCGTGGGGTACGTAAGGTAAGGGTGAAGTATGCTCGTCGGGTGTAGTTTTGGTCTGTGGAAGTGTGTGCTTGCGCGACACCAGCCCAGGTACGAGTGTCGATCCTTCCGACCGAAGCCGTGCTCGAGCTAGGATGACTAATTCAATCTCTCGAGGTAAAGTCTTCCTGGCCGCAATCACAATTAATTGTAGGCCGCGTTTGCATTAACTGCCTTCGTCTCCAGGACGCCGCTCTGCACAATGCACAGCCTCTAGTATTTGCACCGTTTCATTATCGGGCACGTCGATGCCGTGTGTCTCGGATTGGTGTAATGAAGTGTGGAAGGTGGCCAACGGGTGCATTTTTCGTTGACGTGCTCCCTGGATTTTCACGCCGTCGGTCTGATGTCGCCGGTCGTGGGACGGTATAAATCGAAGTCGGTGGTTTCTTTGGTTTTGCATTCTTCGTCTCTGTCGATCTTCTTCCCAAGCCTCAGTTTTTGATTGCTGCGCCTTACTTGTCTAACAAACATCATGAACTTCGCCACCACCCTTTTCTCCGTCTTCTTCTTCATCGCCTCCGTCCTCTCCCAGGGCGTCCGGCTCTCCTCGCCCACCGACGGCCAGACCGTCTCCCCCGGCCAACAAATCGTCGTCTCAGTCACGCGTCCCGTAAGCGTCCACCACTAACTTCAATAAATCCAGCCAACCAACACTCACCCCCATCTCAGCCCACGCTCTCCAGCTCCGAAGAAGTCGCCGTCGTGCTCGGGCTCACCACCTGCTCGACGTCCACCGGCTGCCCCGCGCCCACGGACGGCCTCGCGCACGTGCTGTACAACGGGCCTTACAGCCCCGCGTACCCGGACCCGAACCCGGCGCATCTCCAGCCGCATCAGAACTTTACGGTCGCGATTCCGGCGGATATGCAGCAGGGCAAGGCGGTGTTGTCTGTGTCGCACTTTGCGTTGCTTGGGGTGAGTGCCTTGTTGTTGTGCTGGGTAGGTTTGTTGGCTCATCTTGTGATGGTACTTAGGCGGCGTTGATTCCCTGGACGCAGTTTGCGAACGTTACTGTCGATGTGCAGTAGGTTGATGCGGTGTGATGCTGTTCTGGTTTGATGACAGAACGCATACATTGTTTGAATGTTTTTACGGACGCTTTACTTTACGTGGATGATTATGTTTACTTAGTCGATCTCCAGGATAATTATGGACTATTTTCAGAGTTTACTGCATGATGTTAGTAGCTTACGCATTAGAATCGAGTCTACTTGGGATTTCCCTCGGGTAACCTTCAGGGCTTCTGGGTAGGATGTCCGAGTCCGAAGTGACCTAAGCTTGTGATTGGCCGTCGGACTCGGATCATATGTTCTTCCGAGTTCCGACGTCGCGTCTCGACAGTACACGGTCTCTCTTCTCGTTCCCACCGTCACCAATCCCAAAGCTCGCCGGGACTTGATTTCTGCTTGCACACAATGGGTACACCAGTCGGTCAGTACGTTTCGATCCCTCCCTCTCAGCCAGGAAGTGTCACCAGCAAGCTCAAAACCAGATGATGGCTACCACCGCTTCGTCAAGGCCATAACACCACCTATCGTCGTTAACCTTCATGGCGCCCGCTCTCTCATATGGCCGTCGCCGACTCCCAAACCGACGTACACGCTTCTCTTTGTCCCCGGCAATCCTGGTCTGGCCGAGTACTATCGAACGTACCTCGGGGAGGTCCACCGACTTGTCAATGAAGCCGAGAGCCAAAACGGCCTCGAGATTGTCTGTGTTTCGCAACTTGGGCACGATGCGGCGTCCGACGGGTTCAACCTTGAACATGAGGAGGTGGTTAACGTCGACGCACAGATCAAACACAAGGCGAGCGTCCTCGACAGTCTGGCAGCCCGCTGGTCTGATACTCGTGGACCGCCACCCAGGATCATCCTTGGCGGTCACAGCATTGGAGCGTACATGGCGCTCGAGGTGGTCAGACGCAAACTTAACACCGTACCGGTCGATGCTGTACACCTCTTGTTTCCGACTGTGCACCATATCGGGCAGACTCCGAACGCAAACAAGCTCGCTTGGCTGTTCCGCGCTGCCGCAGGTGGCGCCATTCACCAGAAAGATGGTGCTTCTTCACCCGACAAAGCCGCGGTATCATTCAGCCCTACACTGTTCATGCTTCTCCGCGCTGCCATCGCATGTCTCCAGCTCATCCCCTTCTTCATCATCAAATCCCTCATCCTCCTCGCCTCCCCAACCCAGAACCCCCACGCAGTCCGCGCCACCGCCTCCCTCGTCCTCTCGCCTCATGCCGCGCGCCAGGCGATCGGCATGGCGCTCGACGAGATGCGCAGCGTCACCGCCGTCGCGCCGTACCCGGACCCCAAGGAGGGCGGGGGCGTCAAGATCCGCGCGTACTGGTCCAAGGGTGATTTGGACGGGTGGGCGCCGGAGGCGGCGCGGGTGGCTGCTGAGGAGGCGCTGCGGCTTTCTGCGTTTAGGCTTGACGATGCGCAAGCTGGTGGGTCTGTTCTGGTTCTGGAGGACGTGCCTGACCGGGCGTCGATGGTGTGCGAGGTAGGGATGCCGCATGCGTTTTGTCTAGGTGGGTGGATTGTTTTTGTTTACTAGCGAGGTACTCATGTTATGGGTGTGTTCTATCAGAGCATAGCGAGGCCATGGCCAAGATTGCTGCTGCTTGGATTATACATGACTATCCATGAAGCATACCCCAGACATTCCCTCGAATTCTTTTTCTAGATGTGAACTCATCATTGGTAGACGTAGAATCTTATTCTTTCTGAGCTCGTTGACAAAGTCATGTCTCTGTGCCTAAGGGTAGTAATCGCGATATGTTGTGTCGTCCCTTCAGGTGGAAAGTGAACAGTTAGGGGCTGATTTCCTAAATGGAACGGTCCAAGCAAGTCCACAGCCACAATACTGAGTCCGGGTTCTTCGCGTCCAAGCGCGTCCTTTGTCCGCTCAACCGACGCCTCTTGCTGTCTGTTTCCTCGTTGCATTGACCATCGACACCTACAGTGGCAACGCTTTTCCTTGCGCCCTACAAACACGTTTGACAGCTCCTCATGGCCTCATGGCCTTCTAGAAACCTGGCACCGCCGTCGTGCTCTTTGAGGGGGGTGCCGACTGCCAGGGACGTTTATGTTGTGGCGGCACGGCGGGCTGCATAAAACGCGTCCCGCTGGGCTTGGTCCTGCCCCAATTCCCCTTCTTCACTCTCTATCATCATGCCCTCTCTGTTCAAGACCCTTGCTAGCATCAAGCATCATCTCCGTCTCCGGCGGAACAAGGCAGGAGATTACAAGTTCTCGCATTGGCGAGATGTTCAGCCTGTGAGCACCCTAGCAGCCTCCTCGCTCCTTCCGCATGAGCTGATTATTCCTCTAATATAGGTTATGGATATCGACGTCCCTGAAGGTCGGGTCTCAGAGTTCCCTAACGACTCTGACGAGTCCTCGGATCCCGATTCCAGCGATGATGACACCTCCACTACATCCCACGACGAAGTCGTTGAGATGGACGACGCGACGCGCTCACTCTCCAAGCTGTCTATCTCCGGCGTCCAGCGTTCCTTGCATCCTGTTTACCTCAGGAACTCCTCCTTGATTGCTGTGCAACCGAACGATGAACTTTTCCGTGTTTCTCTCCGCAAGCGCAAGGTGGAGCGTGATGAAGATGAAGACGACAGGGCGTTTATTGAGAAGGTGGGGTGTTTTCTAAGTTCGGTCAATGACGTTTCTCATCTTCTTGGACAGTCTGAGCGCCCAGCCAAGCGACAACGCGCAGCTCTTCCACCTCAAGTTGAGCGCAGACCCAACCCCCATGCAACGTCGCCAGGTCATGGATCCGTTGGTGTCCCGTCGCCTCCTCCTGCCCTACCACAACCCGAGCCCCAGAACAAGTCAGGCTCGATGAGTCCTTCAAGTCGCCCAATGAGAAGAGACGCCGTGAGTGTAGTCCGCCGCCGATACAAGTCCGAGCAGAGGGCACGACCTTCCCCGCGAAAGACCGTTCGCGCCGACACCCAGCCGGCCGTGAGCCCGCCGTCTCCTTCCAGATGCCCTACGGAGGAAGTAGCGGACGACGATGAGATTACAGAGCTGACGAGCAAGATGGGCGGATCTCAGCTGGCGCCGACCAGAGTCGAGGAATTCGTCAGACATCCCTGCGTCCAGGCGGCGGTGAAGGCGGCGTTCCTGCGAAGCGTCGTCAAGATGGAGAATGAGATCCGCAGGCGGGATGCAAAGCCCAGGGAGAAGAGGCGGCGGGACAAGGAGGCGAGGCGGCGGCGAGGGTGCTGCAAGTCTGGTCATCAGCTTTCTGCCGTTTTGGCGGCCCAGTAGGTAGAGACCCGGCTTGCATCTTGCTCGTTTCCCCTCGACGCTGCTCCTGTGGACATTCTGATCCCAAAGAGAGCGGCAGGCTCGGCTTATTTTTCTCGTCGCCTCACCGAATAGGGTCGCTTTCTCGGTTTTGGTATCTAGCATCATCATCATGATCGCGTCTGGCTGTACGAGTCGCCCTTTTTGTATCGTAATAGTTGTTTATAGTGGTACCCCTGGACCTGTTACTCAGACGTCCGAGTTAACTTACTGATACCCTGGTTTCTGTACTAATGCCATTGTTTATGCTTTTTGAACTGGTGCATAGCAAGATTGCGTGGCCAGTCCAAGCGCAGCAAACACATACCGGCCGTTGCCGAATCAACAGGCCTCAATAGCTTGAATTTGCCGCATATTCCGCACACGGCAGGCACTGCTTCAAGTTCGTTTTAACCCTCACTAGTAAGTACAGCTTGTAACCAACTTGGAACGTTGACATCTTGATAGGGTATCGCTGAGGTAGTCACTCAGCGGCTCCGCAAGGAGCTAGAGCTGGGGAGCTGGACGAAATCTCTGTTATGATGCCCGTCTCGTTCATAAGCGCTCAGGAACGCTACTCGACCTTTTGGACAATCCTTGGGCGCATGGGACAGTGAGTCTCGTAATCTGCCACGCGACAACACCAACTGAAGGACTGGGATATATGCGCACACCTCATCTGCGTAGTGCACACACATTAGATTCATATACTGCCAAACGAAAATGTCAAAAGGACTAGGGTGTATGCGCACCATCCTGAGTCATCTGCGCAACGCTCGCCAAGCTCAGGCCTTCGCGACGGGCGTCACGGTGCAGTGCTCGTTGGCTTCCTGTTCTCAAGGCAGCTTTCCTTCTCATCAGATACCCCACGTCATGGTTCGTGTGTAATTAACTGTAACTTGCTGTACGCTGACTTCATTGGGATGTTGTAGAATGAAAAGGCAACTTTGGCCCCATGATATACTCGGTCGGTGCTATTTGGAGCACCCCAGAGCGCTAGTACCATCTCGCATATAAACACTCCCCATGAATGCGCTTATGAAGCGCTAACCCTCTGATACCCCCTCGCACATTTGTGGAAGGACTTGCTGACGACGACAAAGATCTATTGCTACCCAGGAGCGTGCCTTTCTATCGCAAGTCCACCCATCTGCCTCGAGTTCACATATTGCAAGTACGTTTCACCGTTCATCTGCACCCGTCACTTGTTAATGCGAATCCCTTCCGCCTTTGATACAGTCGACGACCATGCCCACTGCTATGCCCTCTGTGTCTAGCCCTCTCAATGATTCGCATACGGCATTTTCCCTTTGCACCCCAACAACTCTAGACCCGTCACCAACCAGCGAGCCCATTCGGAAGTACGCCCACCAAGGCGAGCCGAGATCGATCGCATTCTCTTGGGATGGTAAACTGCTCGTTGTTGGCACGGTAGCGGGATCCATCCACATATGGGACGTTGCTACAGAGAAGGCTGCCCATGCGCCCCTCGAGGCCAAGGACATGGACGCCGTCTTCGCTGTGGCCATCTCTCCCGATGGCAAACATGTCGCCGGTGGTGGTTCCGACAACATCATCCGCATATGGAACATCAGCGAGAGTGAAGACGGGGCAGAACCACTCAGGTGCGAGAGCCGCCATACCGACTGGATCCAGTCCATCGAGTTTTCGCCCGACGGAAAGCGCCTGGCGAGCGCCTCACTCGACCAAACGGCCCGTTTCTGGGATGCAGAGACTGGGCGCGAAGCCTGTGCAGCGCTCAAGGGCCACAGCAGCCACGTATTCAAGGCACTTTTCACGCCGCTGGGGAACCAACTAGTCACCGGCTCCGCAGATGGCACGCTCAAGGTATGGGGTGCTACCTCGCCTGGCAGTGCACCCCGATGCCTTCGGTCGGTTCAGGTGGCCCCGTCAAACTGCTGTCTTGCGCTCTCACCGAGCGGGAGCACCGTGGCCACGAGCAATTCGGATGGGAGTGTCATCGAGCTGCGCAGCTTAAACAGCAAGCGCGTCACCGAGTTGGGACAGGGAAGGATATCTGGCGTTAATTGTCTGTCGTTTTCGCCGAGCGGCATGTTCTTGGCCAGTGGCTCCGCTGACGGCTTGCTGCACGTCTGGGACAAGGATACCAAGGCTATGGCAACAGATCCCTACAAGCACCCATCTGGTGTACAGGCAGTCGCTTTCTCCCCTGACGGACGTTGGGTGGCCAGCGCGTGCAGGGATGGTTATGTCTACCTTTGGTACATTGGTGATATTATCATGGACATTAGCGACCAATTGACGAATGGCGTCGAGGTGGGTAATATTTGATCTCGTTATGCAGTCGAATTCCGACCATTGCTATGATTAGACCAGCAGCACCGCGAGCACCAACGTTCACGACGATCCCCGTACAACGTCTTTAGTGTTGTCTCTGAGACGGAACTTTCCCTGGCTTGAACGAGACCTAATGATGGACTCCCCGACTACAGAGGTGAGCGATCTGACGTTCTGGCTTCCCATCCTATGTCTCACCTACCACTTTGTGTTTCCTATCATTTTGGAATGCTTCTCGCCTTCTCAGCTCATGTTTGACCAGCGGTGTCCATACTTACTTTCAGGCGAACCTAGCTGCCAACAAAGTATCATGAGTGAATCGGGAGCTGAGTATGCACTTGGCGGAGTACGTATTCCAGCATTATCCTTAACAACCGACTGAACCAATCACTAGATACCAACACCCTTCATCGATAGACGACCACGAACACGACGTTCAGAATTCTACTCAGACCTCCTAACCCGGCTTCAGCCGTCAGCGTCTTCTCGCGAGCCTGATCAAACGCTTCCGCACATGGAAAGGCCGCGGGCACTCGCATACTCCTCAAATGGAAAACACCTTGTCGTCGGTACCGAGGGGGCGGTCGTTCAAATATGGGACCTCGAGTCAGGTTCTGTTGAACAAACACTCGAAGATGCCAGTGGTGGCATGGGCGCCGTCTTTGCCGTGGCCATTTCCCGCGACGGGAAGCGCGTTGCTAGCGGCGGAGCCGACAACACCGTCCGTGTTTGGGACGTAGAAGGGGGCGGGAAGCCCATTGCATGTTCAGGACACCGTGATTGGATCCAGACCCTCGACTTTTCTGACGCACCCGACGGCCCGTTGCTTGCCAGTGGGTCCCTCGATCAGACAGCCCGTCTCTGGCGGGCATCTACTGGTCAGCCCGCGGAAGATTCAGTCTGGGCTCATAAGGGAGACGTATTCAAGGTCGCCTTCACTCCAGACTATAACAAACTTGTTGCTGGCTCAGGAGACGGAACGCTCTCGGTCTGGGATGTCTGGTCAAACTGCGACGAACCTCACCGAGTGCGCATCAATCCCTCTAACCGCTGTCTGGCGCTTTCACCAGATGGCAGGACCATCGCGACGAGCAACGGGGAGGGATCGATTATCGAGCTACGAAATCTGAAAGGGAGGTTGGTCAGAAGAGCAGTCAGGGACTCGGCATTGAACATCAGCAACCTCTGTTTCTCCCCGGATGGTAACTTTTTGGCGAGTGGCTCCAACGACGGTTTTGTCACCGTGTGGGATATCCAGGATGGGGTGCCAGCAGCGCAGCCATTCAAGAATGGCACTCTGCCTATACAGGCCATCGCCTTCTCTCCAGACGGGCAACGTCTCGCCAGCGCATGCGGCAACGGGGAGGTATGCATTTGGGACGTGAGCGACATTGTGCCATGGCGGACACTCGAGGTACGGGCTCAAGCGGTGTTACTTTACCTCTGAGTTCTTCTGATCAGCTCACGCGCGCAGGGCACCGTCACAGTCGTTTACTCTCATTCGCAGACGACTGTGGCCGAGGCGGACGATGATAAGTCGACACATTCAGGCTCACATCAAGAGTCCAGGTCTCTTCTATCAGCCCCAAGTCCAACGGCTGTTTCGGAGCGGCAGCCATCTGACTCCACGAACGTCGATCGACGCCGAAATTCTGGCGAGGAGTCATTCATGGATGTTGGTGTTTCTACATACTTAATCTCTGTCTAGACCTTATTGAACACGTTTGCGGTCGCTAGTGGCCGGCGATTCCATCTAGTTCAGGTTTGCTCGATCATGTTGATAGTGACAGACTGGAGGTGTGTCTGATGTATTGATTTGTGTACTCCTTGCGTACTTGCGTCCTTACCGCTGAACACTAGGCCTTAAACGAGTCGGCTCACAGACCTTCTCATGATGGTACCGAAGGGAGTTCTGCTCAAGAGTCGGAACGCAGACGGGTTCCCCTTCGAGGAAGCGGAGCAGTTACAGTTCTCTTAGCACGAGCGAAAAAGGCTAGTAGCGACATATTGAGCTTTGCCTGCCGTAATGATTCCTATTATCATAGCGTATAGCTGCGGCTCCACCGCCCGTATGGCTGCAAACATACCGCGAGAAGGAGAAGGAAAAGAGGACGGAAAAGGACAGGGAGAAGGAACATCGAGAACGCGATATCGCATGCGTAGCTACCGTCCGCCCATATAGCCTGACTTCAAACTCAAGCTCCGGGGCGTATACTGTTGATAGCCTTGACGGACTTGACCTCTGCCGCATGGTGTGCTGCTCCCCGTGCTTGAAAGCTTGAACCCTGGAAGGACACCTAGAAGTGGATTGTGAGCATCAAGCTGATGATTATCTCAGAAGATACCATGGTCGCATCAGACGTGTATTGTCAAGCGCGGGTTGTAATATATATGCAAAGCTTATGTCCATTTAATCATCAGTGATTCAAAGTGTAATAGCACGAGCACAAAGGAACATGCTCTATCGTATGATCTTTGAATGCTCACCCCGTGTTCTATACATCGATGTGTATTTTGCTTGAGGGCGGAATCTTAGTGACTCTGCAGTTTCTACTTCCAACCTCCAGGCTGGAGCGGTTGCCTTCATGTTAGTTATATACGAATACATCCTCCGAAACTATCAGTCATCTGGAATATGAGATGACCTGTTGTATATGCAAGAAGTAATACAAACTAATGTACAAGACTGCCGACTTGAACGGGGTATGCTGTATGTAAGCCAACCGGATCATATAATAATGAGCGAGTCTGCAAGAACAAACTATTACAATACTGATAGATAACTATAAAACATGCGGATTAAAGAACTAGCTCACACAGCGGGCTCGCGCCAGCTTCAGGTCTGCTAACTCCGTAAGTAAGCGAGCACGCTGGGATGTGAGGAGGAGCGTCTGAGCCGTTGGCGAGCGCGCCTTCCGAAGATGATTCACAGGTGCCCGGGAAGGCAGCTTTCCGAGTGCAGATGGGGAATATGAGGCATCGTTGGAGCGTGAGCGGTCCGGTAGACGGGTGGAGGAAGTAGGTTGAGAGTTAGAGGACGGTCGGCGAGGAGTCGAGGTGCGGTCAGGAAAGGAGATATTAAATGGTGGACTGGGGGCGCGCTCTCGTATTCGGACAGTTTCCTGAGACAATCTAGTCGAAAGGGGAGATCGGAAAGAGGACCGTTTGGGGGTTGGCGTAGAAGGTACATGAGGAGACAGAGGCGCCTTAGACTGTCGAAAGCCAGACAAAGGCATGGTCGAAGTACGGGGTTGCTCTAGAGTTGAATTGGAGCCACGGCTCGCGAAGAACTCGTTAAGTTCAGCCTCCTCGTCGACAGGGGCTATCCAGCCTGCTTGGCGAACAGGAGTGGGCGGTGCGAGGAGAAGCGAGGACGAGAGGTCATCAGATCGGCATGAACATGTGCAGAGTGATTCAGCCGTCGTGTCTGGATTCCGGCTGTTATCGCAGCTGCAGAATGATTGAACACCTGCTGCGGAAGGACGCTGAAAGAACTCGGTAGAATTGTTGATGGAGTCGTCTGAAACGAGGAGCACGGAGGGATCATCCATGTCATGGATGCATACTGGTCCATGAGCTGAGGTAGGTGACGGGGTCCGGGAAGCTGGAGAAGATGGTACTGGGGTAGGATCATCATCGCGAACGCTGGTGACAGAGGAGCTATTGGCAGAGTGCATGGACAGCTCGGTATGAGCGCTCCGAGTCGTGGTTGTAGATGGAGAAAGCACGCGTGGATGCCGCGGTATGTCGGGAATGTACGACTCCTCAGCTGCTCCTCCGAATGTGGTGTCGCCATCGCCCACCGTTAGATTCTGCAAGTCGATGCTGAGGTTATCCTCCTCTTCCTCTTCCGCCTCCTCCAGTCTCCCTCGTGGTCCGAGCGATATGTCGGCATCACCACTGTCGTCGTATGACATACTGACATCCACTATACCCCGCCTTCGTGCAAGCCAACACAGCAACCGTCCAACGAAGACAACCTCGTCCCAATCTCCTTCCGCCAGGCGCTCCGGATCAACTTCGTCAAGCCCTACGCTCGCGTCAGCGTCGGTCTTCGCGTCGAGCAAGTCACATTGAAGTACACCAAGGAAGACATGCATCGCTTCTACGCGTGCGACTGGACTTCGAGATGCACGTATGGCTGGCGGGAGTGGGAGGCGGGCGTGTATGATCGACTCGAGGATGGCAAGTAGGAGCGAGGGAGTCAGGTCCGTTGGAGAATCGAGGACGAAAGGGAGGCTGAGGGCAATAAGGAGATTGTTCAGCGCGTCTATGAGGCGCAACGTCGACTCGCCGAGCGAGTCCATCACAGTGGACGATGGTGAGGGTGAGAGGGTCATGTTCATGGGATATGTCCCGAGTGAGACAGACAGCGGTTATAACATTACGCTTGCCACGTGTTATCACCGCCCGCCTAGCTCAATCGGATAGAGCGTCAGACTCTTAAGACTAGGCGATCTGAAGGCTGCGAGTTCGACCCTCGCGGTGGGCTAGTACTTTTGCTTTTGCTGCTTCTACACTTCTGGCTCTTTCTTTAATACTTTCAAGTCCTCCTTATGATATTGATGGTATGCTGGCAATTCTTGCGGATCAAGTACTCATCCTACGCGTTCCCTGAATGCGCTTCAAAATCTCTTTTGAACTCAGCTTCGATGGTTTAGGGCCCTCGAGTGTCGCTCGATGCCATGTCCTTCCATATTTTCTGGAGTAATAGCCCAGCTCCGAGTCGTTTAGAAGACAATTCGGGAGTCATGACATCGGGGCCTTTGATTGTGCGTGTCGTGACCGGCCAGCATTTAGTAGTTCCAGCCGAACACGATATAATTTTGGTTTTGAAGCACTCCATGTTTAATATTTTAATGATGAAATGTGCACTTGTGGTAAAACTTCGACGGGCTAAAAACTAACAGTGACGACAAAAAGCACGGTGCTAAAATCTATCATGTGCCCACTCAGAGAAAATTAAGCGAGCCAGTAAATAACGGAATTGAGTGACATCAATGTGAGTTCTCGGAACGACTTAGTTGCCAGGGCCACTCGCAGAGATACCGACATAGAGAGGCTCCTGCGCGATCTGAGTCGTCGGCGTGTACCCAGCCTAACAATAGCTCATCAGGACACGTCGACGAGCAGAGGAAACACGACTTACACCAACGAGGGAGAAGTGTGTCACGGACAACACCGCATGGCCACCGTTCAGGCTCGATGGCAGCGTCACCGTGATGTTCTGGTGTGGCGCCTCGTACTTGCCGTTGTAGAGGACGTGCTGGATGGCCTGGGAGGGGTTGGGGCACGAATTCTCGTCGGTGCAGGACGAGACACCGATGACAATGGCAACCTCCTCAGAGGGAGTGAGCGAGTTCTAGAGAACATATGGGTCAGCGTCCGCTTGGTGTGGTCAAAGAACTGAGCAGCTGACCTGGCGAGTGACTTCGACGTCCAGCTTCTCGCCCGCGAGGACGGTCTGACCGCTAGGCGGGGACGAGATGTTGATGGCCTGAGACATGGCGGAGGCGACGAAGAGGGCGACGGCAACAAGAGAGAACTGCATTGTTGGATGAGAGGTGTGTTTGTAAAGAGGTTCAAAGACGAAGTGAGTGACTGTGGTTGGAAGAATGAGGAGACTTAGTACTTGGTATGATGGTCGATAAGAGCGACGTTGCCCGGCTTTTATATTCAGCAATTCTTGGGTGAACGGCGAAAGCAGCCCGTTAGAAAATGTCGATAGCAACCCCAAGGCGCGTTCACTGGCGCGTTATTCTACCTCCGCGACATCGGCAAAGATCAGCGCCGGGTTACATAGAAGGAAGGTGAAGTTCATCACAAGCAGAGCTCAGGAGACAAAATGAGCGGCATTCAAGTTGGGAACTGAAGGAAGCCAGGCCTGCCGATCGGCGCAGTCTAAGCGTGTTGGATGCTGATCAGCTTCGGTTCCGTGAAGCCTACTGATGGCTGAGTTTACCGACCCTCTTCGCATTGTCGACGACGCTTCACATTACAAGACCATAGAGCATTATTGTTCACCTTTGCAGTCACGAAACAGCAGTTTCGCAAAGAACATTTCGTGAAACCATATTCAGAATGTTGTGTTGCAGACACGGAGATGTTTAGTACCGTGAGGCCGTTGATTTACTTGCCGCCCATGTTCTAACAATGAGGCTTCCCCAAGTCCGGATTCACGGAGGCCGCACAAGATGAAACATGCCATAGAGCCCGACAGCTTAAGCGAGCTGACCCTGAATGTCCGTTTTAGGCTCTTTGCGTTGAGGGTGACAGGCCAGACACTGTTTGCGAGTATGCGTACCATGGCTAAATCCGAGCAACCATTGAGATGAAATGCCAATCGCTTCAAAGTAAAAACTGCGCTGGTGGACATCAACCTTCAAGCTTCACCTTCAGAAGACAGGAAAGATTTACGAGCTGCAAGTGAGAGGAGCTCAGAAAATGCCGCGATAGCAAGCCCAAGTGTTCACTGTCTAAGCTTAGTAACCTTGACCGCAGTACGTACCATAGGATGACAAGGCAAAAATCTGGGGAATGCCTCGGGTCAATCAACAGGCGTTAGAGCCTGAGTCAGCGTCCAGTATACGGAGGAGCCGAAACTGCTTTTCTCAATGCGGACTTTCACGAGAAACGAAGCGCGGGATTTCAGAAATTTCACGGCAATTTGCGTCTCCGTTTGCCTTCAAAGTTTGTCGTTGCCAGTGACGGTCCTACACTGCTCGGTTTTGCCAATGTCCAGTAGTCAGGCCGTTCTGTCCATGCCGAAGGTGTAAATTGTTTGACGACCTCAACATGTAGCGAAAGAACCTCTTTCTTTCTCAGGCCATTAACCAAAGTGTCATAATTACTAACCACAAATCCTTTATTCACAAGTTCTGACGTTATCCCGAGTCGGATACCGCGTACTTACTCATGAGATTCTTCAACGCCGTGAGCGCTTGGGCGCTTATACGTGACCCAAACAACCACCGGCTAGCGCATCATTCCACCGGTGTAACGAACCTGAATGGGCGTGTCACAAAGTCCCAGATGTCGTTTTCTGGCGGGCTGCTTTTGCCGTTCACCCAGATTTGCAGCATATAAAAGCTGGGCAATGTCACTCTAATTGACCATCATACCAAGTCTCCTTTTCCTTCCAACCACAGTCACTCACTTCGTCTTCGAACCTCTTTACAAACACACCTCTCATCTAACAATGCAGTTCTCACTTGCCGCACTTGCCCTCTTCGTCGCCTCCGCCATGTCTCAAGCCATCAACATCTCGTCCCCGCCCAGCGGTCAGACCGTCCTGGCTGGCGAGAAGCTGAACGTCGAAGTCACTCGCCAGGTAAACTGTTCGACACATGTACTCGAAACTAAAAATGCTGATTTCATCTCTGTAGAACTCGCTCTCTCCCTCCGAGGAGGTTGCCATTGTCATCGGTGTCTCGTCCTGCACCGACGAGAATTCGTGCCCCAGCCCCTCCCAGGTCATCCAGCATGTCCTCTACAATGGGCCATACGCGGCGCCTCACCAGAACATCACGGTGACGCTGCCATCGAGCCTGAACGGTGGCCATGCGGTGTTGTCCGTGACACACTTCTCCCTCGTTGGGGTAAGTTGCGTTCCCTCTGCTGGCCGACGACATTTGCTGATAAGTTACGATTAGGCTGGGTACACGCCAACGACTCAGATTGCGCAAGAGCCTCTCTATGTCGGTATCTCTGCGAGTGGCCCTGGCAACTAAGTCGTTCCGAGAACTCACATTGATGTCACTCAATTCCGTTATTTACTGGCTCGCTTAATACTGGGTAGACGCATCGTGCATTAGAGCACCGTGCTTCCTGTCGTTGGTGTTTTACTGTTAATCGTGATCAGGTTGACTATAGTTCAAGCATGAGCGTACCTTGAGCTTGTGATATATCCATGGACAATAATACATACTAGGCCCTGCTAGCTAAGGCAAGGAAAGACTGCAAGGAATACTTCTCGTTCTGAACGAATCTTCCGCAGCCCACTTCAACGATGAACACCAGCTCGATGCCCAGGTCTTCGACCTTTTCCCACTGCATGCCAGCGAATGCATAGGAATCCTCAGGCGTGCAGTACTTGAAGACTACTCTGTGCACCGGATGGCCATACGCACGCCTAAGAAGGATACATTCCCGGAGCTCTTCAAGTCCCGTAAACGTCGCATGAGGCTGAGGCCCCGGGTTAAAAACGGAAGGCAGCTCCATGTCTAATGTGAGCTCTTCGAGATTTCGGGCAGGCATGTCTCCTACGGATCGGCACGAAAGAAGGCTCGCTACCTGCACGAGGTCTGGAGGGGCTATGGACAAGGATCGTAGGGACGTTGCATTCTTCAGAGTACTTCTCAGGCCAAAGCCCTGCCACCCAGCCGTGGATATGGTAAAAGAGGTCAAGAGGCGGATTGGGAGGAGGGTGAAGAGGTATTGGAAAATATCGCGGAGACCGGCCGTCGATAACACAGTTTCTACGCAAAGTTCTCGGGTGATGTGCTCCGCTGTGGCATCCCACCCTTGTGGGACGAGGATGCGTACCCTATAACTCGAGTCCGAAAGTTGTCGGGAGGCGCGTGTTCTCGCCAATGATAGTTCATACTGACTGCGATTACCTTCCGACGAGTTGAGTTTAGGAATATGCCATGTAGATATACACGGGAGGAAATAGCTGAAACTGGTTATGTCTGGGTTGCGATTCTCGATGTGGAGATGGGTTAGAGGCCGTAGAAGCTGGATATGGGAGAGCCCTTCTCGCAACACGTCAGCCAAGCCGAAAAACTTTAAGCATTTCAAGTTGCGGGCGGTAACCTGCATAGTTTGTCCCGGGCCGCTGTTGAGGCCCTTCAAGCAATCACCAAGGACGAGTTGCTCAAGCATAGGTGTAGCACTCATGAGCGATAGCAGCTCGCCCATATTGAGCGATTGGCCATACGGAAGCTGGTGAATAGACAAGCTAGTGATACGACAAAACAGTGGAGGGGGGTTCTTCCATCTGATGGCACAGGAGTATAGGTGCAGGGCCTTTAGATGAGGAGCTCGATCGCTCAGGAAGTGTTCTGGAAGCAACAGTCCACGTTCCACTACCATCGCTCTATGGCCATCACCGCGTCCTGGAAAGCTCATACTCAAAGACAGCAGTCGGGGAAGCTTTCCAAACTGATCTAAGCACGACATCACGTTCAAGCTAGCCCCCTTGATTACGAGCTCCTGTATGCGTTGACCGAGTGCCTCCGATGGTTGAATGGAGGTCACGACACCTGGAGCGGGATAGGCGTTGAAGTAGATGTGCAAGGCACGCGATCCCGCACGGGCGAGAAACAACTCGGTCCAAAACGTCGAAAAGGTGGGTATCCGTGTCCACAGACTCGGGTGCGATAGGGCTGTTTGTCTCCAGTGGCGACAAACGTGGGTGACCTTGATCCATGAGAGACAGTCTGGATAGCAGAAGTGGAAAGGGCAGGTGCCATCGATGGCGGGTCCACGCGTTCTGCCATCGTGAGCTTGCTCGACGCATTCTTGGAAGATGAGGGCCAAGAGCTCTGGTAAAAAGATTGACGCTAGTACTGATGGTTTAGAAGAGCTAGATGCTGGGACCTGGGGCATTGAACGAGACAATGAACTGAACTAGCCTCGCAGAGGATGTCAGTATAGCGTCCTTAGCGATATCGGAGGGAAAGCGTTGGATAGCAATTGCAGAAGAGGCCAACAGGGGTGCGTTGATGAAAGGAGACTCGGGTCTCGCCAACTCGCGACACGTACCACCTAATCGGAAAAGTCCGAAGAGCGCAAAGCTGCCCAATGTTGCATCAGGTAACCAACAACTAGTCTGATGATACATTTCCGTGGTAGTTCGAAGATGGGTTGAGTAGCGAGTGCAGACACTGTATGGTATGGGTGGCCCTTCATGCGGGTGGGTTTTGAACGCTTCACCGATTACTAGTACAAATTGACACTCGGGTTCCGAAGGCACGATGGGCGTGCTCAGTTTACCCTCTCAGGGTCCCAGTATATCCGCCTCGTCCATCGTCTCCGCCGTGTAACGGCTGGTGAAGGCATATTTGCCGGGGCTTCCCTTGGTTCAAGCCATGCATCATTCGTGTAAACCCAGCCGTCTAGAAAAGATTCGACTTCAGTGCTGAATCTCGTGAAAAGACATCTCCTGCTCACCATCATCACCACCACAGTCGCACCAGCTCGCGTCAAGGTCCGCACGCCATCCTTCCGTTTCGACAAATGCCCAGCCGGGTGCAAGGGAAAACGTGAGGTTGCTACTATTCCCATCAAATTAGCGCGTTATTTCTGCATCTCATTTCCAAGCCGATGCACGATGAAAGCTTACCTGACTTCCCCCTCCCCACTCCCATTCGCTACACCTTTCCATCCATCTCTCCCTCGAGTCCACGCCGAGCGCTCACCGTGCCTCAGGTTCACCTTCGCCCACGAACTCAAACCCCCACTCGTCACCGCGCCGGACCCAGACAAATCGCCTCCCTCAGACGCGGGGACCGACGAAGACGAGGACGACCCGGGGACGGGTGCACTCGCGAGCCGCTCGTTCTCCCATAGCTCGACCTCCCGCATCTCGCTGCCCCAGTGCTTGTCGAGCAGCCTGTCATCGTCTACCGCACGCTTCCAGCCTCCACGCAGGCGCTTCCATATTAGGCTTGCTTTCTCCCGGAAGGGGGTTTGTTGCTTCCAGCTTAAGACGAGTGCGAGCCCCCGCGATTGAACAAAAGGGTGTGTGGCAATGAGGGGTGCGACACCGAGTATAAAGAAGAGTGGGCGGAGAGGGACGTATGGGAGGATAGGGAGCATCAGAAGGAGTGTTACAACAACTACGGGGAGAAGCGGAGATTGAGGGCGAGAACGAGACGAAGAGGTGGCTGTCGTGAGCTGGGTGACGAGGGGAAATGCAGCATCGTATGCGTCAGAGCTAGGTTATGTAGGGTCAAGAGAGGCTCTGCACATGGTGTTGGATCAATAACTCACTAAGCGCCCATGAGGTTCTGAATGGCCTGCAAATTGGCTTGCCAGTCCACGGACCCTTCACTTGCATTGACAGGGGGCGAAGTCGCATTCGTTTCTTCTGGATGATTGGCGAGGATAACACCCAAGACAATGGCATGTGGAAGAAGAAGCACAAGCCGAGGAAAATAACCTTTGGACATAATGAGCATCAGAATGGTTCATACAAAGGAACTAGCACTCACACAAGAAGCCGTACGCCGCTATCCACACGCTCGTTACCTTCCATCCTCGCTTCCACGCAACAATCTCTTCTATCCGATCCTGCAGCCAAAACAGCGGGCCTATTTTGCCGACAAATCTTCTGAAGTTGACAGTCGTTATTGGGATGGACAATGGGTCGCGGGTCGAGAGGAGCGTATGTGGCTGTCCTCTCGGGTTCGTTGAGGTCAGCGCGGAGCCGGCACCCTGCCCTTGGCCACCTTGGCTTGCACTCCGCCCATGACCAGGCGTTGAAGGTGGAAGCGCCGAGGATAGAAGGAGTTGCGGGAACAGCGAGAGAGGGCCGAAGGACTTGGCAGTGGGCGAGATCGGAGAGGCGGTGCTTAGTTGGTCGGGAACGGAGTGCGGCAAGGACGTATGGACCTTCGCAGCTGGCCTGAGGTTGTGCGTCTCCTTCACGCTCGCAAGCGAGAGGCGAAGCGCGTCCTTGGGAAAGTCGACGTAGTCAAAGGTCGCCATTCTCGGGCTTGAAGGATGTACGCTTAATATAGAGCTGCCACGCCTCTGGAGCAAGCGCGGGCAGTCGTCTAACCTAAACAAAACGTGCTCGAGGGTTAGTCTGCAACCAAGTGAGCATAAATGACTTCAAAGATATGTACCGTGTGTATTGAGGAAGCCGGAAGGGAGTAGGAGTGTTGTAGGGGCGTCGGATGACGAACGCGAGGTAAACACATGCGCGCTGTCGGATAACAAGCTCCGCTAACCCTAACCTCATTTTAGGGGTGCATCGAAAAGGGCAGCTTCAGAGGTCTCCCCAATAACTTTCATGTCTTTATTGCCAGCAGTAACGGCAACGTCCCGACTGGATGCATCGTATCCGAGCAAAGGCAGCTTCTGACAAACACTTACCATCGGCCTGCATTCGTTCTTCGTCTTTACTCCCCAGCGCTCCCTTTGACCCCGCGGAAGTATTCGGTGGGGCCCCACAACGCTCAGGCATTTATTAAGGGGCGAGGAAGCATGGTACTCGAGTGCATTACCAAGGCGGGCTCCCATCTAGGCCTAAGTATCGGATGAACAATTATGACAATGTATTTGTCCCCTATCAAGCTATCAGGGCCCGCCGACCGGAGATCATTGCTGGCTAGAGTGGCCACTCGTCTCACAGTCGACAAGTATCGTCATAGATAAGTCATCAACGACGCAATCAGTCACACTGGGCGTCCTCCGGTCCCACCTGGACTCGCATATATTCGGGTACGCTTGAATGCGTATCCTTGTCGACCATTTCCTTCTTCTCTTCAACGAGATATGTCGGACAACCCCTCGTTTGTCCTGAAAAGCGTTGAGGACGTCGCCTTCGAGCAGCGCCCCATTCCTGAAAGTGCGTACCCTTCTTTTCTCTTTGTTAGTGTATAGGGGCGACCGAGGAGCAACGACTAAATTTCCAGTTGAGCCCACCGAAGTGCTCGTTGAAGTCAAGAAGACCGGTGAGTAGCTTGGGCTTTTTTCTAGATCCTGATTGACTTCAAGGCATCCATCAGGTATCTGTGGCTCTGATGTAGGTTAACGGTCCGCGGTCAAGGTTAACAATAGCATCGGCGTTGACGCTGTCGACGATCTAGGTTCACTACTTGCTGGAAGGACGCATTGGAGACAACGTTGTAGAAAATCCCATGGTCAGTCTGCCTCTGGACTTGATCTGCCGGGTATACTAACAGTATTCTGGCAGGTTTTGGGCCACGAGTCTTCGGGTGTTGTGGCTAAGGGTATGCCTTGCCACTTGTATGTCAGAAGCGAAGCCTGACCCATCTTACAGTTGGGAGTGGCATTACCAGCCTGAAAAAAGGGGATCGTGTGGCTATCGAACCCGGTGCAACTTGTCGCAGGTGCGAGTCTTGCAAATCTGGACGCTACCAGGTCAGTGCCAACTTTCTTTTGATGGTTCTAGGAAAAGGGTCTGAGATATACTATTGAATAGCTCTGCCCCGATGTCCAATTCGCTGCCACGCCGCCAGTTGACGGCACTCTCGGGCGCTACTACCGCATTCCCGCTGACCTTGCTTACCTGCTTCCACCTCATCTGACTTTGGAGGATGGCGCTATGGTCAGTCCCACAAAATGTCACGAAGAGGATGTACGCAAAGCGCTTACTGCAGTTTTTAGATGGAGCCCCTGTCTGTCGCGGTCCATGCCGTCTCCACCCTTGGATCTTTCAGAGCAGGCAAGAGCATAGCCGTATTCGGGGCCGGTCCCGTCGGTATCTTGTGCATGGCGGTCGCCAAAGCCATGGGGGCCTCTCGAATCATTGCCGTCGATATCGTTCAAGGGCGACTAGACTTTGCCAAATCCTACATCGGAGCCGATATTTTCCTCCCTCCGTCTCCGGAAAAAGACGAGTCGAAAGCTGCTACATCAAGAAGATCGGCGAAAACAATGAAGGAGCAGCTCAAGATCACGGAGCGCGGGGCCGGCAGCATTGATTTGGTTATTGACGCCAGCGGAGTGGAAGTGTCAGTTCAAACTGGCCTGCGCATTTGCAAGGCCGCCGGAACGTATGTGCAAGTAAGTACCTTCTGATGCTCTCAACGTCCCAGTGTCAAATGACACTCCCACAGGTTGGAATGGGCAAACCAGACGTCACGGTTGACATGGGAGTTATCATGCAAAAGGAACTCCAGTTGAAGGGGTCTTTCCGTTACGGGGTAAGCTACAATTGTGTTAACTGAACTGGCTTATGTGACCAACATCGAAATAGCCCGGAGACTATCCGCTTGCTATACAGCTCGTTGCTGAAGGCAAAATCGATTTGAAGCCGCTCGTTAGTCACAGGTAACATTGACACGACGCGACTGGTCTATACAATACTGATCCAGCATTACCTAGATACAAGTTTGAAGACGCTGAGACAGCTTTCCAGACCACACGCAATGGTAAGAGCGAAGATGGGAAAGGTGTCATCAAAGCGATTATCTCTGGCCCTGGTGTTGCGGTAGATTCGAACTAAAACGGATGTCGTTACTTCATTGGAGACTGCATGCAGATGTATAAAGGGATGTATATACGATGCAGGCAGCTGTACGACGACTACATACAAATCAGTCCGCTGAATTGTCATTTGTAGCTTTGAGAAATTGTAAGGCTGGAATTAGACTTTATGCATATGATTGTCATGTGTTATGCGAAAACAGGGGCCAATCCACGAATGGAAGTCCGCTCCGGGTCACAGACCCGACGTCCTTGAAGTCCGTTAGTTCCGTCCTACCTTCTCGTCGACCATGAGGCCCTCTGCAGTCCGTCTCCTCAATATCTTGGTCCCAGTAAAGCGGTATGCGAACCACAGTCACCCATAACTGATATCTAATGGTCTTCCAGGGCAGTCGACTATGCCGTCAAAATTCGTGTTAACCCACAGCAGACTGGCATTGACCTCAACGTCAAGCACTCGATGGTATGTTGACTCCAGCATCATGCACGGCAACTGCAGATTTACATGTACGATGTGCACAGAACCCTTTCGATGAGATTGGTGAGTCGGTCAGCACACGACCCGCGTACACGCATCCTCAAGTTATGCCTTTGCCCATCCAGCCGTGGAGGAAGCCGTCCGCCTGCGGGAGCGTATGAAGGACGCCGTCAAGTCCATCAAGGTCGTCACCATCGGCCCCGCCAAGTCCGCCGAGACGCTGCGCACCGCGCTCGCCATGGGCGCTGACGGCGGCATCCACGTCGAGATCCCTGAGTCCGCGCCCGCGCCCGAGCCGCTCGGCGTCGCGAAGACGCTCCGCGCGATCGTCGAGCGCGAGAAGGAGAAGGCGAACGTGGACATCGTCATCCTCGGCAAGCAGGCCATCGACGACGACATGGGCCAGACAGGCCAGATGCTCGCCGGCCTGCTGAACTGGCCGCAGGCGACGTATGCGAGCAAGGTTGTCATCGACGAGGCAAACAGGGTCGCGCATGTTACGCGCGAGATAGACGGTGGTGCGGAGGAGGTGAAGTGCAAGCTGCCTGTCATCATTACCACGGATCTTCGGTAAGCGCAGCAGTACTTTTTATTTGGTAAATGCCTTTCTAATGGGCTCACCTATTGCATGTGCATATAAAGACTTAATGGTCAGCATCAATCCTAGATTTTTCTCTTGCCTAGCTGACAACTCCCCCACAGAGCCCCGTTATGCATCATTACCCAACATCATGAAAGCAAAGAAGAAACCCATTGAGAAGCTCTCTCCCTCAGACCTTGGTGTCGACCTCACCCCCATACTAGAGACCTTGAAGGTCACGGAGCCTCCCAAGCGCGTAGGCGGCGGCAAGGTATGTCCCCATATTTCTTACACTTCCTTCCGTTTTGGTCCCCAACTCACGCCATAATGTTACCAAGGTCGAGAACGTGGACGAGCTCATCACCAAGCTCAAGGAGGCCGGCATCGAGGCCGTCAAGAGCTAAACACGCATTCCAGTACACCCTCCGATACCCAATCGGTAGCGTACTTGTAGATTCACATCTCTGGGTAGAATTGATACGTCCTCAATGAACCTTCCTTGGCCTCGGGCACGACCAGATCTCCAGCAACTTCCTTCCCTATGCTGCGTTAGAATCAAGACATGTGTTTCTTGCGAGGTGACGAGTATCACAGACGGACACACGGCTTACCGGATGGCAACAATGGCAGCCTCCCACTTGACCTGAGCGTGGCTTATAAGAACATGCGATAGTACCCGCTGGTCCCAGCTTGCATCCGGCGGGACGGTTGTTTCCCCAGACCCAGTTCTGTTGATTATTCCGCCTCAAAATAAGTAGCAGCGTGAGGATGCGAACCTCGGTGCTTGCCAACGCTTCCCCCGAGCTTTATATCCCGCGAGACTAGCACCACACCTTCAGAGGCCGGCGGTCATGTAAAACCTTGAAGCTTCCGTCCCTTCGGGCAGTACCCTTCATCTTCGTGGCACAGCGAACTCTCAACGCCATTCACAAATCTCATGATCACAGTCGGCGCTGATAAGCCGTGAAGTTGGATAGTAATAGTCCATTGGATTGATTCGAGATTACGTAGAGTACATAACAGAAGATTGATATACCTTAGACTACGGGCCAGGAAGAAAAGGAAAAAGACGACGATGACGAGACGAAATGCACTGAAAACTGAGGGAACGGGAGTGAGAGAGATCAGGAGACGATTTTCAGACAAGAAAATTTGTATCAATGGGCCTGCTTGCGCGTGTGCAAGAAAAAAAGATGTTTATGGATGGATGGATGTGTGCGTGCATGGGGGCAGGGTCTGCAATGGACAAACATGACGACGAGAGGAAGAGCGTGTAACAAGAACCACCGAGAAGAGACCAGCAGTAATCGTGTGGGAGGGACGAGGATGGGGATTGGAGGATGTCGATGGATGACGCGGACGATTGGGGGTGGGGACGGGAACTAGGGAACGGGGACGATTTGAAACTTGAAAACCATGCATGCTACATAGAACAAACTAGAAACAGAAAACAGATGCGGGACCGGATTCAAGTTTGCCTTTGTCAAAAGAATTATTTGCAGTGAGAAGTTCCCAGTGTAACGGGGACTTTTGTGAAAAAAAAACGGAAATGAAGCTCTACTCTATGCAAAGCGGAGGTAAGCTAGGAAAAGCAAAGTCAAAGCGAGGTCCAACGCAGTCTTTGCTACGTTGGGTGGAATGACGTTCAGGCGGAAGCAGTCGTCGGAGACGTGGGTGACTGTGGGACGCTACCATCGCCGCCGACACCCTGTTGATGAATTAGAGTGATTAACATTCTGCATGAAACATTGATGCAGCTAAAAACGCACCTTGGTACGACATGCCGGGCAGTTATTCTTGCCAGTCTCGAGCCAGCGGTCAACGCAGCCCTGATGGAACGCATGTCGGCAGGCGAGCACGCGTACGTCGTCCTCTGGCTCATAGTCGTCCAGACAGATCAGACACTAAACAGACATATTAACAATCCGCATTTCATAAATTATTCCAAGAAAACAAGCGTACCCGTTCGACGCAGTTCGACGTGATCTTCTGCTCCTCGTCGTACTGCTTCAGCATCGAGGCCTTGATAATCTCGAGACCAGACTTCTCGATGTCCTCCTTAGACGCCGTCTGCGGCTTCACCTGACCAAGCAGCTCTGCCAGCTCCCTAATTATAACGATGAGCACGCTATATCCTCAAAGAAAAGAAAAAACAATCCTGCACGTACCAAAGCGCTTCAAACGAATCAAGATTCCCGCCTGTAATAATCTGGTGGTCTGGCGGATAATACCCTACGTCTGCATCAGCCCCAACCACCAAAAGATAAAATAAAATAAAATAAACTCACCTCCAATCACATAAATCAAAAACGTCCTCGACCCAGGCGCATCCGGCCTCGGCTGACTCGCCGCCCGGCGCGCATTACCATTGCCCGTGCCCGTGCCAGCGCCTGCACCCACACCCGCACCAGGCGCACCAGGCGCACCCGAGCGCAGATTGCGGAACGCATTAGCAGCGCGGCTACCCCACGAACGACCGCGGCTCGCCCGGTCGTGCCCACCGTGCTCATGCTCAAACCCATGATCGTCGACATCGCCAAACAAATCCGGATCCACGTCCATGTTCATGTTCGTGTCCTCGTCCGCCCCTGCCTCGGCTGCACCATGACGGTGCGTATGCGCGTGGTCAGGTGCACCGCCGAACGGGTCCACGTTCATCGGGTCGTGCTCCATATTGCCCACGTACGGCTCCACGCCGTGCGCCTGCTGGTGATGCGGATGCGTTGAGGGGTGCGTGTGTGGGTGCGCATGATGGTGGTGGTGATGGTGGCGATCCATTGAGACAGACTGAAGTCCAACCACAATAACCGGAACAACGACGTTGGAAGGTGCCGGTGCTCTCTGCTGCTGCTCTGAGCCCGCACCTGCTGCACCGCTGAGGGGAGTATTCGACGGATTGCCGGATGAAGGAGGGCCTTCTGCAGACGCAGCTGACGTCGACGGGACAAACTCAGAAGTCGGCGTCGAAGGCGTAGGGAAATGCGGGGTAGCGGAAGTTGAGGGGGACAAAGAAGACTGTAGAGGAGACATAGCACCGGGATTCGTGGAGACGCTACTGGCTCCGATGTCGAGGTTGGGAATCGGGCGGGGGTGGGTAAGAGACTGGGGACGGCTGTGTGCAGCGGTGGTGCTCATGCCTGAGGAAAACGCACTCGCAAGAGGGACAGAGGGAGTAGAGGACTGAGTAGCAGCAGCAGAAGGGGGGTTCGCACCACTCCCACCCACAGTACTGGGGTTTTGGGTCGACACGCTGCCCATCGCGTGGCCTTGGCCTTCTCCTGCCTGAGTTTGGGCTCCCCCTAGTGATGTAGATAAGGCGTGACCACCTCCTGGCAGATTATTCTGAGCCTCACCTTGATTCTGGTTCGCAAACTGCCCATGGTGCGCCTGAACCTGTTGCGAGGTGATCGCAGGGAACCGGTACATCCGCCACCAGTTAATGCCTCCACCCGGTCGGTGCTCCGTGCGCGACATCGAGCTCGGCGTGCCTGTCGCAGCACCCGCGGCACCGGTAGGGGCGTTGCCGCTTCTATTTGCATTAGCGTTAACGTTTGTCCTTCCACTTGCGCGGCCCGTTGCCGCTGCCTCGTGGCGCGTTTCATCCCGCGACATGGAGGCCGTGGCTATGGGAGTATGATTGCTCGACGTGCGTTGGCCTTGAGGCACGCGTGGGGTCGCCTCGTGGCGACCCTGCGACTGGGGAACGTGCGACCGCTCGTCAAGGGAGTCTTCGTCGGAGGAGTCGGTGAAGCTCGACAGGGGTGGCATGTCTGCAAATTCGTCGTCGGCACCTGACATGCCCGGATGCTCCTGTCTGTTGCCCTGGAGAGGTACCGAAGTAGAAAATGTGGGGGAAGAAGGCACGTCAAGATCTTCCGCGGCAGTGTCATAAACCTCCAGCTCGCTCTCGGGTTCGCCCGTCTCTGGCGCCGTGACGGTCACGTTCGGGACAGGTCGCTCGTTGCGACCGACATCCCCGTCTCTGTCAGCTCCTCGGTCAGCATCCCCGTCTAGTCCGGCGTCGGGATCGGGATCGGAGCCCGAGCCAGATGACTCAGCCCCGGCATTAGGGTCATGCGAGAGCGCAATGCGCAAGTCGGCCTGGAGGTCGATCAAGAACCGCTCGAAGCTATCTGGAGGCGGGAGATCGTCCTCGCTGTCCCTGGCCTCGCCTGCCTCATCGTCGCCTTCCTCCCCGTCGCGTTCGCGCTCGGTGCCGCTCTGCGCGGACCCACCACCAAGCTGCGACACGTCGATGCGGCCATCGCCCGACCGACGGCGTACAGACGTCGCTGCAGCACCAGCGTTAACGGCCCCGTTGGCATTCGCGTTAGCGTTGTTGATGCCCAGCCCAAGGTTGAATGCCCGAGCCATCTCCGCGAGCATGATCTCGCGAGCGTCCATAGGCGAGCCGTCCGGGCGCGTGTGATCACCCGCATCGCCGGTGGCTCTAGCTCCGGTATTGCCACTCGAACCACCTACTCCGCCGTCGGGGCGCGCAGGGCCATTGCGTAAACCAAGACGATCACGCAAACTCGACCAGACCTGACGCATCCGATCGCGTGCGGGTGAGCCATCGTTCTGCGGTGTTGCAGATGAGAACGGCGACGACGGTGACACGGGCGAGAACGGTGATGCGGGGGATACAGGAGATGCGGGCTGGTTGCCATTCGGGTTAGGAGCCGAATTGGAGAGCCCCGTCGAGAAAATGGGTTCAGATGAGCCCGTGAGTAATGACGCGGCAGTTGCTGCCGCTGCAACGCTGTCGACACAAGCAAAAGATGTGATCAGCAATGTATTCGAAGGAAAAAGAGACGCATATAGCCAGTAAAACTCACCTGAGCAGCGTCCCAAGAACGTCAATACTACTCGGCGTAAGAGCCCCGCCTTGCGAGCCATTCGAGCCTGCAGGCTCATCGATCGACGGTCGATCCGTATCTCCTCTGCTCGGCGGATCACTGCTACCTGCATCGGAAGACGACCAAGGGCTATCGCTTGTTGATGAAGACGGTTCGTTGCTCGTAGACGCAGACGCCGATGACGGGATAGACGGCAACATGCTCATCGGACGTGGTGTTGCGACCCTCGGAGGGCGGGAGATGACAGATGACAGTCGATTCCGCACGCGCCTGTCCCCGGCAGTAGACGGCGACAGGGTCGAGGGGCGTGGAGTCGAAGAAGCCCGTCTGCGTGGTTGCGAAGGGAAAGATGGAGGGCGGCGGGAGGCAGTGGCATTGGAAGGGGTGCGGACATTGGCGTCAGAAGATGATGTGTTCGCATTCGAGTTTGAGGGGCGGGAAACGTCCGTCGTGTGGACAACGCCCTGGACGACGACAAGGGCGCCTGGCGGAGGGAAGCGCTGAGGCTGTTGCGGTTGCGCCTGTTGCGGCTGGGTCTGCGGCAGAGGGGGCAGAGGCGGAAGCTCGGGCTCAGAATCGGGTGACGGGGCGCGAGGTGAGACTGGAGGCAGGTCGGGCAACGAGTAATCTTGTAGCGGCTCGTTGTCTGGGGCAGGCGGCTGAATGACGACTTCATCCTGCTCAGTGTCCGCGCTCAGCTCGGAGTCCCGTACTGTTGCGATGACGCCTGCGTCCGCACGCCCTTGCGCCTCGGCGGTAAGGGGCAGACGGGGCTGATCCCTAGGTCTGTCTGGCTCCTGGACAAGCTCTAGCACAGGGATCGATCCAGACGCCTCACCTGCTTGCTCCACCTCCTCTCGTTTGTCCGGGAGAGTGATGCGCTTATCAACCTGCTCAATGCGCTCTCCCATCTCCCCCACTTGCTCCGCCTGCTCTTGCCCCTGCTCCTCCTCCAGCACAGCTCCGTCGCCCTCCTCTTCATGTGTCGCATCCTCGGAATGGTCGGGCGCCTTTGAGAATCTTCTTGAGAGCCTCCATCCTCGTCGTTTCGGAGTCGACTGGCTCTCTCTGCGCGGACGGGGTCGCGATGTGCCTTCTTCGGCTGCGGAGAGCGGGGCGATGGCAGGCGCAGGTGTGCTGACTGTGCGCGCACGAAAGCGTTTGGATGTGGAGGATGACAAAGCGCCAATGATGCGCTTTGGGACCGACGAAGTGCGCGAGCGGCCGGGTCCGGCGGAGGAAGCAGCGGGGGGTTCGGCGGTTACGTTCGTGGGGTCGTCATTAGGGGAAGTTTCTGGGATTTCGAGCGAGCGTGGATGTTGACGAGCACGAGAGTTGGATTGGCCCATTCGAATGTTGTCAAGAAGTTGAGAGAGGTTTGGTTGGTTGTGTGGAGGAGAGAGTTGAGGAAAAGGAGAGTGTGGATGCTGGATTTGGACAGATGAATAAGACAGATGCAACTAGGGGACAGAAAAGATGATATTGTATTATTGAGACAGAAGGGTTATGGTTGCTGATTTATTTTGTATGCGTGTTCCCTGTGCCCGCTGTGGTGGACAGAGGGTGAGGAGCGGACGATGGACTGTGGACGGGGCTGGGCTGAGACGGGCTGGGTGCAAGAGAGAACGCCGGACGTCGCTTGTCCGTCACTCCTCGGCCAACTCCGTTGCCTGCCCTTTCTGGCTCCTTGCGCTACACAGCTCCCCCACTTGAAGCCCAGATCGCACAGCAACACTACCCAGGTACACGTACACAATCACCTAGCACTATTCAGCAACGGCTATTATTGTGTATCGTACCAAGCGCCAACACTGTACCTATGGGCGAGGCCAACTTAGCCCCACATTACCCCCTTCAACTAGGCACCGCCAACTTGCCTCACCTCGCCGGCCGAGGACAAATCCATTCTCGCTCGCAACTTCAAACCTATCAGGAAGCACGTCCACTTCATATTCACCATCAACTTCCAATCCATCCATCTTTGCATTATCCACCGCCCCAATGGTGTCGGGGGCCGACATGAACGACAGCACATGCTGCTCGTCGGCATTAGCCCCTATCTCGTGGCTAGAAGGCGCCCGAACATTCTGCGGCTGATGATAGAGCTGACCAAGACGACAACAACAAGCAATCAGAAATCAGAATAAACCGTCGCATAATTGCAAGGTTACGGCACGGAAGGGCGACCCTGTCGTGGGATGCCCGCTCCTTCTGCCTCGATACACGAAGCGAACAATGCTTACCTTGACTACTGAGCCCTCCCTCGGCGCGGCTTGCGACGCGAGTGCAATTGTCCCTCGAGACGGATCCCCGGAAGTGATATCATACACTTGCGAGAGCTGCGTAAGAGTTTTGTCACGCCCAATCATTGCATTTGGGTGTTCAAACCCGTATATCGAGGGAGCATTCGCGTTCGGAGATGGGGTGCAGTCCGAGGGGAATCAACATAACGCGTATTATGCAGACATCCATGAGTTGAGGAGTACAACAGCACTTGTTAACAACCAGCTCCTCATATATGAACAGTAATATCCTCACCTCATCGCCGTTCATGACTCCCAGGAAGAACTTGTCCTCCTTCTCCAACCACGCAGTCGAGGCAGCCCCAGAAGTCGCCAATCCATGCTTCGCAATGGCAGCGAGGAGTAGACGCGTGGGGTTTGCGTCATCAAGGGCCAGAACAAGGTTCCCTTCTGACCTGTGTCGTTTGTGTTTGAGATCAAGGTTGAGTGATAGACATGAGACACGAGTAAGAGTCCTCGTGCACGCACCGTGTAATGGTTAGCGCCGGTGTAAGCTCCACGAGGCTAGGGAAGTGCACGTTCGTCGATGGCGACTCGCCACGCGCAAATCCGACCCCTACGGCGCCAGACCCGTAGATAGCGCCGTCGTGGAAGAGCGTCACAGGTCTTCCCGTGATGAACGGTGTCGAGCTGGCAAGTACACCCAGCTAAGCAAGTCGTCAGACTTTGATTTCAAAAGCTAGAATGAACAGCACAACGGGATGAGGCTCACCGACACGAAGAGATACCCACTTTAGTCACGTTCGGATACGCAGCACAGAGCGCATTGTCCAATCCCTCCGGCGCAAGGTCCGAGAAATACAACACAGAGGACACGTCTCTAAGAAAAACACTGCGTCAGACGCATCAAAGAACTCAAACAAACCAACTAACCGACCCTCCAACCCCTCCGGCACCCTCCCCGCACCCGCGTTCCTCGCCCACACATCCTCCCAATTCGCGCGCTCCCCCATAGTCACGCCCTCCAGCGGGCCCTCCGCGCCGCCCGCCCCACCTACCTCGCGCCGATTCTCTCGCCTCGCTGCATGCCACCTCCCCACCTGTGGCGCTATCCGCCCCGGGATCTCCGAGCGGAACGACGTGACGCGTGTCCCATCCAGTACAGCGAGCGACAGTGCATGGCGGCACTCACTATGAGACGCGGCTGGCGCAGAAAGGCATCCGACGTGTCGAGGAAATGCTCCTCTCAGCGTGTCGAGCACACTGGACAGCGCAGACGACGGTGTGCTCGCGGAGAGCGCGAAGAGAAGGGTATGCTCTGTCTTGGACTTGGACTTTGGAAGTGAGGGTGTCAGTCGGGAGAGCTGTGAGGTGAGGGCAGATGGCGAGCGGAAGAGAAGCGTCTGTGATGATAAGATGGGCATCTTTTCGAAGGGCTAAAGCATTGGCTTTTGCGTTGAAAGTCAAGTCAAAAAGGGATTTCAATTCGTCGCGTCGGTTTGGTGACGTATGAGCACAGCCACATACGCGACTTCTCAACGACGTGCGCCATGACATTGACAAGTAGTCAACGTTTCAACGTTCAACTCGGACTCGTGGTTTTACGAAAACGAATCAGTCATCAATGTAGTGAGTATCAAGTTAAACTATATTGTATCAGCTGATGAAAATGGATTGGGCGAAGCTAACAGATTTGATGCTTAAATCCCGCACTGAAGATGTTTGGATCATCCCAGTTTGATCCCAGTGGGAGCTTCAAGAGGTGAGGATCTTCAGGACTCATGCAAATTAATACTGCCGCGGACGTTGACCTCATGCATCCCACGCGTACGTGACGGCAGGACAGGCTTCAAAAAGAATTCAACGCTTGGAGTCCTGTGTGTTTGATTATCAAAAACAGCTTGAACAAGTCCGATAGAATCATTGAGGGCCCGGGTGTTGGGTGAGTAGATGTTCAATATTTTGCTGTTGATGCTGCTGATGCTGGTTGTGTCGATCACGACGTGAGAGCTGTCAAGTGGCCCCACAGCGTTCAACAACCACTTTTCTCACGATCCCATGCTGTAGGTGGGCAATAATTCGGCAAGCTCCGACGCGCGCCCTGCTGTGCAGCGGGCGTCCAGGACGCCCGAATTCGCACAGGCCCCCGCGACCCACGACGGTTTCTACCGGTCGAGTACAAGCTAGGTAGAAGTCCCCCATGTCCGAACTAGAGATACACCTATGTGTCTTAATGTCACATAAATCACTAGCCTGACCTTGGTAGCAGCTTTACCTGCGACTTTGAAATGTACAGTACAACGCCAATACAGTTGCCACACACTAGTACTGACAAATCACACTGGCATAAAGGGTGGGTTCCTAAAATGTCGTGTGTCGTAATACAGTTCATGAAAAACGCTACCCTCAGATGAGGAAGTAAAACTACACAACATCACTCTAAAAAGATGCGACAAAATAGCGACTGCAGAGGCCAAGACGTTACTTCCGTCTCGTCGTTCGGACAAATCCCAAAAAATGAGACCGGCCAAATAATTGTAGGAGCACGTCACATGGATGTATCCATTCCATATGGCCACTGTTACGGGTGCTTCAGTCATTTGTGTTTGATGGCGTGCACAGTGCAGGCGAACCGTGCCACCACGCGGGCGTCCAGGACGCCCGGGAGTCCGACAAAGAGTCAACATGTCATTTCACGGGTTATCATACACAAAATTTGCAACAGCAATGTGGTCAGACACCAGCACGTCTACTTTCCCTACACTTTCCACGAAAATTTCAATTTCTCCAACTCTGCAAACCTGTCACGAATTTCCTCGTCAAGCGGTGGTCCATCCCAGACCTGAATTTCAGATAAGGCTTCGTCTAATAGAACTTCCGCCAACTCGTGCAATGTCTCAGCGGAGAACGCTGGTTTGGTCACCGCGATTTTCTTCAGGCGTGCGAAACGGTCCTCTTCTTCAACCATCCATTCTAAAACCGAGTCATCGAATCCGCTGCACTTGTCAACCATAAGGGTGGTGTATCCCATCGGGTTGTGAGGTGACCAGTTCTCAAGGGCGTTGATGATTGACGAACTCGAATCTATCTCCTCAAGCCTAAGGAAATCGCACCAAATCTCCGTCTCCGTTGCGACCTCGCATCGCGTCAAGACTGCGGTATCACCGCCCTGGAAAGCAGCCATGTCCGACGGTCTGTACTCGATGATGGAGAAGAGGGCCTGGATGATTGGACCTTCAAGGTCAGCGAGACTAACGAGTGCTGATGGTCGGACTATGCAACCGTCAATGTCGCACCCGCTGGAGGGGTCAAATCCGACGTCCGAGATTCTGAGGGTGAGGAATGGTATTTCCGAAATGAAAAAATCCAGAGCATCAACAAACCCGTCGATCGAAAGCAGGTCCTCTTCCCTCGGCCGATAACGGGTAACAACAAGAGCAAATGGGTGTATGCCCATCCCCGGAAGCTGAGGCCACTCCACACCTTCCATGACAATATCGACGAACGTCTTTGCGTCAATATGAAGCGAAGTCAGTTCGGGGAACATCAGCTGGAAGACAGTAGCCTCTTCCTCGGTGTCCGCAACATAAGAATTGAGGCGGAGGTCCGAAAGACAGAAGAGTTCTTTTTCGCCCAAATAAGAAAGAGCGAGGAGGATGGATGAGCGGTAGATGATGTCCAAGCGAAGTGATTTGAGGACTTTTGCACCTAGGTGGGGATCGAGCTGCTTCATTAGCACGGTGAGACGTGCATGCTCTTTGGTAGCACTCAGTTCCGGCGAGCTCGTGTCTCCTGAGGTGACGGTAACGTTGAACGGGTTTTTCCCGACGGCGGTGAAGAACTTGGTGATGATAGAGGGTATGAATGGCCCGTTTAGGTTGACCGATAAAGTCGTCCAAAAGACAGGGTCCATGGCCAGAATGTCCAGCCACTTGCGACATACGTATTCAAGACCTAGAGACGGAGCTGGGCCTTCGGTGGCTGGCTGAGCCCTTTTGGCCAGACGAAAAATGGAGAGTAGGGTTTCCGTTGGTAGCGAGTCAATGGATGGGCCCTGAAAAGCAGGCGTCTGGAGATGATATTAGATCACCCTGATGTAGGAAAAGGCCTACGTTGAACATTGCAGTACTGGTATCTACTCACCACTTGTTCCATGTCGGTAGTGGTTCCTGTTGTGGAAGGGTGAAATTTGTGGGAGCTTGTGAGCTCGTGCGAGAATAAAGAAGCGGAGAAAAAGGTGGAAAATAGAGAACAGCCGCGTGTTATACTACCTTTGTTTGTTTGTCGTCATTTAGCTGTGAGTTTCGGAAGCAATTCAGTAGTAGATCAGTTTCTGTTCATGGAGAAAGAAAATCTGTTTACTTTTGGAGCCTCGTCGGGTGTCAATATACTAGAAAGGTTCGGATCCCTAACATGAGATGACATGTATGATATATATCGAATCAAGGACTAGTAGAGAGCGCCCGTGAATCACTCAGGACTTCCATTTCATCACCTCTTTTGGGGGGAAGTACGCAATCATTACCAGACATAACCCTGGATTTCTTGGCCTGTATATGATACATGTGATATCTGGCTCTCGAGGATGTGAGTATAGACCATTTCGAGGAAAGACAAGCCAGTCGCGTAGTAGAAGCCAGCCACTGACTCTAGTCAGCCCAAACTGGAATCACGGTGGCAGGGAGCAAGAGGATAGCAGCATGTTATTGGCATGTTAGTAGTAGGCGTGAATTTCATGGGGGGAAAGCCTTACTGATATCACTACCGGTAAACAAGGTTACAAGCTCCGAAATACCGGAAACTAGTGGTCTATCGAATTGACAGGAAGTTCGAAGAAACTTGACTCGGACCAAACTCAGACTGTAAGTCAAGACGCGACGTGTGCGCACAGCCACAAACGCGACTTTCTTCTCGGCCACACAGGCCTGTGACTATGATACACCACCAACACGAATAAACTCAGAGCCATCATGCATCATGCTTGACGATCCAGACAAGCGACACATCAGCGAGAAACCTGAGGGGTCGATACGGGAGCTTGATAAAACAGGAGAACACTTACGCATGATGCTCAACTTGAAGCTTGAAAGACGAACTGCTTGAAAGTCCGACTTACCCGGCGACCGCCGATGACTCGGAGTAGTACTGAGGTCCCTCAAGTATAGGATGGTGCTATCATGCTGATCCAAATCGTTATGACATATGTGTGAGTCAATAGTTATGGAGCATGATGGAGTAGAAAAGCTTCTCTCTTGGTGACGCTAAATATTGTACACGAAGTATTGTACACGAAGGAATCATAACGAATGCAACAGCTACAGCATCAAAGATATACGCTGGTACGTCACTTTGCAATATCCGCTCGTATAAAAATGCACCGGTTTGGAGTAGCATCGCTTTGCATCATCTTCACCAGGAGATACACACGAACCTCTTAAGAAACCGAGCTACCCGGGAAGTGATTTCTCGAGGCAGCGCTTCGGTGGTCGTGTCGACCATTGTTGGCACGGCCTGACGCGATCTTACTTGAACCACAGTACGTTGGGCTACGTCTCCTCGAGACCCTCCTTGAGCCTGCTGTGCTTGAGCTGGCTGTGCTTGAGTGGCAGACGGCATCTCATCCATCTCTATGTCCTCGTCCTCGTCTGATTCTGACTCGGACTCGGAATCAGAATCAGAATCGGAATCCATGCCACGGATGCAACTTGGGCGGTTTCTTCTGGGTCCGGCAGATGCAAGGCGCTGTTTGAAAAATAGTAAGATGATCAGCATAAGGCAGAGTACGCGAAGGGTACGCCACTTACCTCTTTCATCTTGGCAGTACTGACAATAACGATCGGACGAGCAGACCGGCTGCGACGTTGCACCTCGGCAGAAATTCTCTTGAAAGTGCTGGACAGGTAGTTGCGAACACCTTCCAGGCCGGGCCGATGTGTCGGAGGTTCACTTATGCTACACATATTGCAGGCAGCCGGCGCCGACAACGTCGTGCCAGCGGACGGGCCATTTCGGCGACAACGTCGTGCCAGCGGACGTCCGCGGACGGCACGACAACACCGTGTCCGCGGACGGCCGGCGCGCCGATGACACACAGGATGTCAATGTGTGGGCGGCGCGCCGACGCCGTGTTCAGGAGGACAGCGAACGGTGTGGCGCATCGTGTCCGCGGACGGCGCCAACAACAAAAATAGACTGCAATCAGCATAGTGAAACAGACTAGACAATAGTACAGTTACCCATTCGTATCCGCGGATGCCAACCGCCGAATGGCGTATAATGTAACAATCATCGGCGCATGCACTTAAAGCATTGATCGTGTCAGCGGACGATAAGTGAACGGTATAGTGCTATTCTCCGGCGCATGGAGCATGTAGGCTGTCGTGTGCGCGGACGCGGTGATAATGCGCTCGCCGGTGCC